AGCCTCTACATCCGGGTCTTTTTCATTCTTTGCTTGGGCGTATGTCTGTGTCAAGCCTCTATCTCCCTTCGGTTTCATCGGCTTGAGGGGGGTGTATTAGATCTATATTATGGTTTAGTCTGGTTAAGCCTCCTTTCACTTAACCACACTACTATATATATTTGTAAATGACACTTTACAGAATTAATGAGAAATCTTCTTTCCCTATCTAAAGTGTTAATATTATTTCTTATAAACATTTCCGCATATACTATAAATCTGGATATTACACAAACAGTATTACCAAAACAAACAGTATTACCAAAAGACATAACAAAATCAAATTTAAACAAACAATTTTTTTGTTTGTTAAAGACGATGCCTTACGGTTGAGACGATCAAAGAACCATGCCTGACCTAGTTTTAAAGACTATAGACGTCCATCTTTTGTAACACTTTTGAAGTATATCTCGAAATAAAAAGTTTTTAAACGTCTTTTTTAAATGTATTTATAATTACGATATACGAATTATTTGGAAAAGGGACATGTTCCAACCACCACATTGTCAAATTGGGTGGTCACATGTTACGCAATAAAACCAGATAATATAGAAGAAATAAAACCAAAAATCTTATTAAAAACGAGAAAAGAAAATCACGATTAAAAAGTGTTCTCTCACATAACAATGAAATGAACATTCAAGAAGATCTAGTCAAAACACTATGCAGAGGTCAACTAAAATATCTTTATGATTTTAATTTACGGGGGCCACTGGTACAGATCGGTTCTGCGAAAGTGTGCACCAATCAACCCATCGCAGTCTCAAAGCATATACATCTAAGAACTTTTTGGAAGATATATTTATGTTAATTTTTTACTCCATAATATAATTATAATTTTTTATACCATATTTGATTTACATTTACATCAATAGTTTTATAAATTAGGCAGTTCGTTGTTGTGCGGAAGATCAAAAATTCACCGGCGCTTCTAATTGGTTAAAAAACAGTGTTGATCGAAGATCTTTTATCCAAGAATACATGTTTGCTTTTTTGTTTAGGAAAAAAACCTAAAAAATACATCAGTTATATAAAATTTGGAAGAAAAATACATAAACTATTTTGACTGCTATAAAAATATATCAACTATTATTTTTTTGGTTTTTAATACAAAAACTATCAATCAATAATATTTCTATAATACCCAAACTTTAAAATTTTGTATATTTTACAACATTAATATTCTGAAAATCTGATTTTGCTCTTTTTTATTTACCAAATTTAATTTAATTTAACAGAAAACAAAATTTATATTTTTTTAAAAAAATCTTTCTTCTTCTTCTTCTTTTCTCGATATCTCTTCTTTTTATCTTTCGCTCAGAGCCGTGCCTAGAGATTTCGAGCCCGTAAACGAATTAAAAAAAAAAAATTCTTATCATCTCAAATTCATATAAAACTAATTCACAATGTTTCATCGGATCATTCTCTTTTTCACATTCATTTTTATCCTCTCATCTTCATCTTTTTTTTTAACCATTTTCATTCACTATATCCACTTTTTCATTCAAATTCTCCTCATCTAGGGTATTCACATCTTTTTCTCATTTAAGTCATCTTCATTCACTGCATTCGCATTCTCTATTCCATCTCCAGAAACACCATGATGCTCATCATTTTTTTTATAGATTTATCAAGAGTTTTAATTTTTTTGAAATACCTAAATAAAATATTCGCTTGAGATTTTTCTTCTTTTTCTCTTTTCTGTTTTAGTTTTCTTTTTTATATCCACACAATGATTTTTTAAAGTTATTCCCAGACATCTCTGTAAAAAAAGAGTTATAACATATAAGCAAAAGAAAAAAAATTATAATAAAAAATAATTAGTAATTAACAAATACTTATTGAGATACCGTTTAATAATTATGTTATTGTTCTAAAAAGAAGAAAACTGAAAGCTTCGAAAATTCAATAATGAAGAAAGTGAGTTGAAGAAGTATCGTGTATTAAGTGCCTAACTAAACATTTTTGTAACCATTACTCTACTTTTATATTTGTTAAATAATTTTTTAATTAATTTCTAAATTTATTAAAAAAAACTCACATATTCTTTTAGTTTTTTTTTTAATTTTTAAATTTCCATTGATAATGAATGAGAGATTACAACCATGCCAACAAAAAATTACACCGACGCATGGACAAACAGCAACAGCTGCAACAAAAAGCCACCACAAGACAAGACCAAAAAAGAGAAGTCAGGGGGCTGAAAAACCGTAAACCAAGATGTTAAGAGAGAAACAACCGAGGGAAGGTTCCTTTGCGCATGAGATAGCGGGTCAAGGCGGCATCGGAGAGTCAGTTGGATGTCAGCAATTAGAGCGGACTGAGGCTTAGAGGAGTTAGAGTGAAGCCTTGAGTTACGTTCGCACCAAATGGCGTAAACCGAAGCCTGGAACAAAAGCTTGATAATCAGGGAAATGTTAGGGTCTCTAACCGGGTCTTTAATCCATCTAAGTCCATCTTCAAAAGCGATAGGAGGAGAGAGATGAGCTTTGTTCATAAAAAAGGACCAAATCTCCGAACTATATACACAATCAAAAAACAAGTGCTGCCTAGTTTCATCAGCAGAGCTGCATAGGAGACAAGAAGAAGGAACATGGACACCCCAGCTTTGCAAACGATCCCGGGTATGCATTCGATTCCTAGCCACCAACCAGGTTATAAAAGCATGCTTAGGAATCATACCTTTGAACCAAACCGATGTGGACCATGGAGCTGAGATGTTACATGGGAATAAGCTGGCCCAAGTAGACTTTGCAGAGAAGATGTTCGTGGGAGTAGAATTCCCCACTTGCCACAAAAAGAGTCGTCGACCTCGGAAAGAAGGATAGGTGCTACCGGAGGGAGGCATTGTTTAAGGAGACTGATGATGGGGTTGCGGCTTCTAGAAGAAGTCAACCACCAAGAGCCGTCGATGATCGCATCTCTGACAGAGGCGTCAATAGAAAGGCCAGAAACTCAGGGGCCAGTGTCACCCGTCAAAGCTATAATCAGACCAAGGCCCGTCCAATTATCACTCCAGAAGTTTGCAGTAATGCCTGAACCAATCTCACACACGATGAATGGCCTGGCGAGAGGGCGAAGCTTGCAAAGCTTTTTCCATATCCAGCTTCCATAGTTCCGGGGGTCTAAATCCCAAAAGATAGAGTTACCGATGAAATTAAGTCTTACTCACGACACCCAAAGGGAGCCACCCAACGCAAAAATTAGCCATATCAGTTTAAGCCCAAGGACCGAGTTCCAGTCAGCCAATCTCCGGAGACCTAGCCCGCCACTAGATTTCGGAGAGCAAACTGAGTCCCAACTGACCTTATCACCTTTTGCATTGTTGGGAGCCCCTTTCCACAGAAATCCGTTACACATATTCTTTTAGTTTCCTACTACTCTTATCTGAACTCTAGATTTTCTTTAGAAATTTGGCCCGTAGGCCAATGTTTCTAATTCACCTATATAGGCACGGCCCTGCTTTCGCTTTACTGGTTTTGATTTGATCAAATTTGGATTTTGTCCATAGAATCTCGATCTTTCTCCTTCTCTCTTTCTCGATTTACTACGATTTCATTTGGGATCTTCACCGGGATTGACATCGGCGATGGCTTCAGTCTAGGTTGAGATGGCTGCGGTGTCACGGCAAAGAAGAAGATAAGTAGTTGTTGCTGGATTTATGGATCAAATGGAGTAATCTAATGGATTCTATGAAATAATGGAGTAATCATTAATATTTTTGGTTTTGGATTTGATTGTTGTTTAGTTTTGAGATTTGATTGGAGTAATCATAAGTTAAAAGCAAATTAAATGTGCGAACTTTTGTTTTTCTTCCACATTCAACGACTGCTCTGAAAATGAAAGAGATTGAATCGAAACTTCTAATTTAAGTTTCCAATGAATCAAATTTGGTACAAATCCAGGAAATTAATCAAAAAATAGTCGCTGTTCAGAGAAAACAAAAATTGCAACGATTTCCCTTCTGATGGTAAGATGACAGATTCCACATCGAAAACACGTTGCCTAAAATCCTTGAAATTTTTGAAAAGAATTTATTTATATATATATCATTAATTTTGTTTTTTTCTGATAAAATAAATTAAATTTGGGTAAAAAAGGTAAAATCGGATTTTTAAAATACTAATGTTTTAAAATACATGAAATTTTTAAAAATTTGGGTATTAAAGAAATACTGATTGATAGTTGGTGTATTAAAAAAAAATCATGTATTTTTATAGCAACCAAGATAATTTATATATTTTTCTTCTAAATTTTATATAGTTGGTGTATTTTTAAGGTTTTTCCCTTAGGTTTATAACTTCACATGTATCAGTACACATTTCTATTGTATGTTTAGATTTTGTTAGACTTTGATTTGGGCTTTGTTGTATCACTTGTATCTGCATATTATCGAGTTTTTCATCTATGATAGATTATCGATTAAAAAAATATGCAATTTAAAAGATATCCTTTTCCTTTTATTTCGTTAGTTAGTTTAAGTGCAAAATTAACAATCTGAAAACAACATTTTTCACATGGGTTGAAAATAAAATTAAAATGACTTTTCATCAGGCTTCTTATCCTCGTATACACTTCTTTTGTCACTTATCCTTCGTCAAAACAGACAAATCTCAAATTCTCAACAAATAAGAACATTCAAATCCTGTTGTTACTGATGCTGTCTTTACCACATGATCACGACACGTGTACAAGTGAGTCCTACCCAAAATAATCCCAAAACATAAATACGAGCCATCGGATCTGGACCATTGGATCAGGCGACCATTTTACTTTTTTATTCTCATAACGTAATATGATAATACCGTCGTATTAAAACACAATGTTTGGACATGGATATAGTCATATCTTTGGATTATTTTACATGTAACCAAACACACATGTTATGCACCGTCAACGTAACCATGGTTTCGATTTTAAAGGGAAGATGTCTCTAGGCTTCTGACACGTCATCTTCCTCATAATTTCCGAATATAATAAAAATCAAAATCTCATCTTTAAGAACTTTCATCTTTTTCCTTTGAAGCTTATACAACTTGTGAAGATGGCTTCTGAAGAGAGCGAGTACCGATGCTTCGTCGGAGGTCTAGCTTGGGCCACCGACGACCAATCTCTGGAAAGAACTTTCAGCCAATTCGGAGAAGTTCTCGACTCCAAGGTCCGTTAAAGACGACCCGGATCCGACCCGGAACCCGGAATCTATGTGACTCTGTTTTTTACCTTTCTCTTTGTTACTCTGTTACTGATTTGTTAATCTCTTAACCTCCATCGGTACGTTTCATCATCGTCCGATTTGTTTGTATCAAATCCATTTTCTTGTGATGAAATCTGATTTGAAAAGTTCGAATTTTTTGTATGGTTTTGGATTTAGATCATCATTGATCGTGAGACAGGGAGGTCCAAAGGATTTGGATTCGTGACTTTTAAGGATGAGGAATCGATGAGAACTGCGATTGAGACGATGAATGGTCAAGAGCTTGATGGTCGTAATATCACTGTCAACGAGGCTCAAGCTCGCCGAACTCGCGGTGGTAACGGTGGTGGTGGGTATAACCGTGGTGGTGGAGGCAGTTACGGAGGTGGTGGTGGCGGTTATGGAGGGGGTGGTGGCGGTTATGGAGGCGGTGGTTATGGAAGTGGTGGTGGTGGTTACGGAGGTAGACGTGATCAAGGTGGATATAGCCGTGGCGGCGGAGGAGGTGGATACGGTGGTGGTTATGGAGGTGGACGTCGTGAGGGTGGATATGGTGGCGGCGGTTACGGTGACGGAGGTTACGGTGGTCGATCTGACGGAAACTGGAGAGATTGAGTCTTGTGTTCTCTCTGTTTCTTTGGGCTATGGATTTGGTCGTTGTTTATTTGGTTTTTTTTCATATGTAAAAACAAAAGACAAAATAAAAAGTTTGATGCTTTTGTTCTTCCAAGATTGCTTTGAGAATGAAGGAGATTGATGCAAAGAAACAAACTTCAGATTAAATCAAGTTTGGTACAAATGAGGAGATTAGAAGTCAAATGCTAAAAGATTGCAGAGTAGTGCAATGACTAAAATGAAAAGTTGATGCTTTGGTTCTTCCACACACACATAAGAAAGACCTTAAGATTGAATCAAGTCTGGTACAATTCAAGAGATTAGAACTCAAGAAAGCTAATCCTAATTCTAGTGAAACTAAAGATTGCAGAGTGGTGCAATGACTAGAACAAGAAGTGGTAGTGAGTCTCTCTCTTTCTCATAGCCCCCCAGAAGGTTGGTTGTTTCTAATCCTGCTTGAACGTCTCACAGGTGTAATCATCTCTTCCTCTCTATCCCCCTGCAAAGAATAAATGGGTTGGTGTTAACTCTTAATACAATGTCAAAGCCAAAATAGAAAAACTACAGTTTGTGATGATTGATTTACTTACACTTTTGATGGGGATTTTCTCGTAAGTTGTGAAACTTCCATAAGAAAAGGAGCCTACGGAGTATTCTGATGCTGAGGATGCCATTGATTCTCTCCTCAAGTTCTTGTTGCTATTACTCTTCTTGCCTCCTCCTCCTCCGCTTTGATGTTCGCTCAAGAATGAGCTCTTCTTATGGAAACTGTTACTTGTCCTGTCCTCAACTTCTTCTGCCTGGAGATTCAGTGAAGAAAGACTTTCTTTCATCAGATTCTCCACTGGTACATGACCCACCAAGTTTAGCTTCTCGGTCACAGGAGCTGGTTCAGGAGCAGATGCAGCCACAGGTTTTGCCTTCTTAGCGAATAAGAAAGCAACAGCTGCGAGTAGAACCAGCACAGTCGAGGAAGATACTATCATCGCCTTGTTAAAAGACTTTACTTTAGGATGAAGATCATCGCTAGTTTCTGCTGCAGTTTCTCCAAAACCTTCTTCTGAGACATTTTCAGCATCAACTAACTCACACTCCTGCAGTTTAGGTTGAAGATCATCACTAGTTACTGCTGCAACTTCTCCAAAACCTTCCTCTGATCCACTTTCAATATCAGCTACCTCAGTCTCTTTTGGCTGGTGCACATTGATGGGATTGGATTCTATGAAGACCGCTTCAGATTCATCTTCTTTAAACTGCTCCGGGTCCTTGGTTGATTTAGTTTCAATCTGTTCTTGAAATTCACTGTTTTCTTCATGATTCACCGGAGACTCTTTCTGTTCTTTTATGTACTCTAAGAATTCACTGTTTTCTTCATGATTCATCGCAGACTCTTTCTGTTCTTCGATGGACTCTAAGAAAAGAGCTTCCAAGTTTGCTTCACCTTCATTTAACTCTATATCTGTGCCCGGTTTCATCTCAACCATTTCATCAAACTCATTAGTTTCTGCATCACCATCTTTTGCTTCATAAACCATTTCTGAGTTTTCCTCTCCTTCACCCTCCTCCTCAAATCCATTGTCATAACCATCATCAAGATTGCTCCTCTCTAGCATTGGTACTTCATTGATTTCAACACTTGTTGGCTGGAAAACAGTATAATCTTCCAGAACATATGTCAAGTTCTGAAATTGCCAAGGACCATGTTCCTCTGCTCTTCCTCTTAGACGTGAGATCAGCTTATCCACGTACACAAGTGATGATTCTGTCAAAGTCAAGAGCTTTTCACTTAACTGCTCCAAATTGTTTGCTTGTTTCTCTGCTCCTCCTCTTAGACGTGAGATCAGCTTATCAACTGATGATTCTGTCAAAGTCCAGAGCTTTTCACTCAACTGCCCCAAGTTGTTAGCTTCTGCAAACTCTGTGATTCCTGTCGGGATATGGAACTCGTGGAAAGGCGATTCTTTAAGGATTGAAAGTCCAGAAAATGTCGCTGAAACCAACAAACACCCCAATGCCATAGCCAAAAGCCAACCAAGGAACTTGAATTTTCTGAAACCAGACTGTTTTGGAACCTGACTTGTCTCTTCAGTGCTCTCACAAACCATTTCTTCGTCCCTCTCTGCTTCCAATTGCTCCACATCTTCGACTTCTTCTTTTTCTTCAACTACTGCCTCAGCTCCATCTTCAGGATAAGCAACCTCCTCTTGCTCCTCACATTTTTCAGATTCCCCCGCAGACAATTCAGTCTCAGAAGAAGAGCTTTCAGAGATGAAAAGCTCCTCAAGCTGCTTGCACTCATCAAAATCCTTCTCGACTCTTGGATTCGGCTTATAATGAAGAAACTGAGGCCTCGGCGACAGATAATTCTTCTTCGGATCATAAGGAGGCAACAATGTATCGACTTCACGACCTGCAAACTCAGGAGATGTGTATGGAACAGTAGGACGAGGACTGATCCTGAATCTTGGATCAGAATACACAATCCCTTTGTTCTCATGAACTTCATTCTCATCGAAATCAGTAACAGTCATGTCATGTGATCCCTCGAACCGCTTCTTTTCATCGACACCAATGATGTGTATCTCTTCAGAAAACGAAACACATGACCGAACATTTCGATGGCTTTTGGTTTCCTCCAAGATTAGGCCTTTAGTGTCAGAGGAACGAGACAGTTCGTTCTTCTCAGACAACACTTTCTTCCTTGGAGATGGATTGATCTTAGAAACAGCTGAGATTGTTGGTGACATGAAGTTCTTGGAAGCTTTTGGAAGCGGAAGAGCTTTGTTCTCGTTCTCTTTGTCGCCAAACTCTACACGAGGATTTTCTCTGCCACCAAAAGAGTTCCTCCGAGAAAAATCTGAGGAACATAAACATGACAACTGTCAATAACCAAAGAAACATATCAATGAATGTGAACCAAAGTACAAGAAGAAAGATAACACTAAGCTAAGGACTCTCTACAAATATTCTCTAACGACTAAGTTAAAATCCTCTTCTTATACAAAAACTAATCGAATCACTTCGAGCAACAATCTGAGGAACAAAAGCATCACAAATCAATAAAGAAGTAAGATTTTCTGAACAAACACTAAGATTAAACGCTAAGCTAAGGACCCTTTACAAATTTTCTGCAAAGACTTAAGTTAAAACACAAACATCACAGCAGGCGATAACCAAAGATACATATCAAAGATTAAGCGAATCATATCGAGCAAAAAACTGAGGACTTCCTGAACAAACAGACTGATTAAACACTAAGGTAAATATCCTCTACAAAATACTCCAAAGACTAAGTTAAAACTCTAATCTATTTCGAAACAGAAGAGAAATATCAAGAAAAGCCCTAACCTTTGGGGATATTGACTTTAGAATTGGCCGGAAATGGGTTGCCACCAAAACTCCGGCGCAAAGGATCACCAACCTCCGAGTTTCTGGGTTTAGGGTTTGGTCTGTTAGGGATCGGAGGAGAAGAAGAGGAATTGTTGTTGGCCGGAGAAGCCATGACCGATCAAATTGGCTCGGATCCTTAATTTGGTAAACAAATCTGAAGTCTTTTACTGCCCAAAAAGAGAAAAATCTAAAATCTTTGGTTTGTTTGGTCGTTGAAGGAAACAACAGAGAGCAGGGAATCGCAAGATCAAGAGAAGCCCTAAGAAGATCGAAGAGTTTGAAATAATGAGAGAGAATCGTAACGGCTACTTGCAGTTTTTTTTTTTGGAAAGGCTAATCTGAGTTATGATTTAAAGTGACGGCTTTGGATCTTTCGACCGTTGGACGAATATTAAAAGCTTTTCTTGACATATTTTTTATGAGTGAATTAGCTGAATAAATCAAATGAAAAACCAAAATTAACTAAATGATCAAGGGTTCACCAATAAATATTAATATTGTGTTTTTGGTCATTGGCAATGATTTTTTTACCTTCTGATATTTTGCTTATGCCAAATATGAACAAAAGCTTCTGACGGTAAGTACAATCTATAGGATGGCTAGAGATATTTGGTAGACTAGGGGCGATATTCCTGCATAAACGAGAGTCACATATTTTTTCCCACCGAAGAAGCATTAAATGCAAGGATATGCTGAAGATTGCTTCGACAATTGGGCTTATATGCGATGTATGCGTGTAAGTATATGACACTAGGGTTTGTTAACCTGCTATATAAAGAGTTATCGTTGTCAATTGAAAAACGTCGCTGTTAAACTTTAAGAGCAAAAAAACACACAGAGTAAAAACAGATAAATCTAGAGTTTCCATTGAAGAAGTAGTTGACTCTCATCCAAAAGAAGGTGAGTTCACGTGCTCTTCAAACGTATGTAATGGAGGTCCTACATTTATTGTCGGATTGTATATCTGGAAAGATTGCTTTTATTACAACACTTATTGAATCTCCGTACTACTTTAATGATACCAGTGATAGTCTAGTAAATGTGTTAGTGATTATGTACTAAAAACTAGTGTTTGTCTCGTTATGAATGTCTCTAAATCCTATTGTGGTCTCTAACAGTTTTGTTTTCACGGTAACCAGCCAGAAAAATGGGCCGTGTTGTAAGCTTTGTTCGAGGAGTGTGGAAGAAAACCGCGAATACGGAATGGGATTTTTAAGAAGATTCGGCGGAGACTGTGTACAGGATGATGGTGCAAGAAAATAAAACGTTCGAGCGCTTGACGGAATGGTGAGGGAGCGCTCAAAATTCCAAGTTATGAAATGATGGCGCTGACTTACAAACTACCGGAGGCTATGGTGGATCCTTTGGAAAAAAAACTGCGCCACAGGACATGGCAACCACGGCGGACATGGAGCTATTCATGGCCGTCAAAGTTGATTTTGATTCGCTTACAATCTATGTGACCCTCGGGGTTTATAATGTTGAGCGTTATAAGTTTCAGAAGCGACACAACCTGACTGTTGGAGGTCCACCGCCGGGGTTTGAAGGTGTTCAGCCAACTTTGCCCCGCTCCTTTCATGCATACACCGGTAATCATTTTGTTAACGTAAAACAAGAAAAAGTTAACGGATATGACTTGCGGTGGACTTGACGATGTTAAAAAATTTTGAGAAAGGGTTGTCGAGGGTCCTATATTCCATATAGCAGAGAGTGTCGCGAAAGAAATTTTCACGGACAAGGAGAGGCGTTTCCTGGAGGAGATACATGAGGCTATGACCCGCATAGAGTCCTCTTACGGGGTGCCCGTGGGTGGTGGACACAGCTCGACTAGCAACTCCTCGGGGGATCTGTGTTTGATGCTCCCAGATACAAGCTTGAACATTACAACTATCGGAAATGTAGACGGTGATCCTGACACCGTGATACAGTCGTCCGGAGTTACATCAGGGGTTCAACACCTCTCCATACGACCTCTAACATGTGAAGGTACAGATCTACGCATATCATTAGCGGGTATGTTATTCATGTGCATCTTCAAATACATGATTAACACTTATCGAATATTTTACCAATCCATGGGTTACTAACTCAACGATTTCGTTGGGCTCAACAAGTGAGGGGAAGAGGCCAGCCAATAGCCTGACTGATAAAGGCAAAACTAAAATCGACCAAGATATCAACAAGGGTCCGTTCTTGGGTTTGTCTATGCGTTGCAATGGAGATCCTAGTGGTGTCAACCCTAAACAACATGACTCGGAAGACGATGACATGTCTGACGAAGAATGTGACTATATCGGTATCGCTTTACTCATATACTCGCTAACATATTTGTTGGATCTCCAACTGTCAACGTGCCTAACTAACATATGTATTATACTTTGTAGGGGACGATGTTAACAAACCAGGCATCCTCTACGTGGGGATGGTATTCAAAGACTAAGACGCGTTCAAGCGCCATATGTCCTTATACGCCATGGCCAAAAAGTTCTAATACTTTACCTGAAAATCGACACCAAGCAGGATGGACTTGGAATGTGTCGGGCAAAACTGCCCATGGAGGGTGTACACCGTAAGGATGGAAGGGATAGAGTGGTTCCATATCAGACGTGCCTGGCTTGACCACAACTGTACCATTGACGAGCGTGGCCGCTTTCATGTGCAAGCTAAGACAAGTGTGATTGGAGATTTGTTCAAAAACAAATATGCCGGTGGTGTTGGACCCCGACCTAATGAACTACGAGAGCTTATGCGTGATGATCATGACGTCCCAATATCATACTGGAAGGCGTGGAGGTCTAGAGATTTAGCAAGGGACACAGGGTTGGGAACTGCTGGCAATTCTTACAAGGTGCTACCCATCTACCTACAACGCTTGGTTATGTCAAACCCCGGAACAGTCGTTTCCCTAGAAACGGATTACGATGAAGGAGTGGACCAAAGGTTCAAATATCTGTTCTTCACCTTGGGGGCATGCCTCAATGGTTATCCCTATACGCGCAAAGTCCTCATAATCGACGGCGCCCACCTTAAAGGGAAGTACACAGGCTGCCTGCTCACCGCGAGTTGTCAATATGGAAACTACCAGCTTTACCCAGTGGCTTTTGGGATAGTGGATGGAGAGAACGACAAGGCATGGAGTTGGTTTTTCCGGAAGTTGCAGGAGGTGGTGCCGGACAGCCATAATCTCGTTTTTGTGTCTGACCGGCATAACTCGATCTATGCCGGCCTGCAAAAGGTATTACACTTTAATCTGCAACTATATTAATAATAACAGTTTTAGATATGCATTTTATTTATTGGTGTGTTAACACTTATAGTATCGCGTTAATAGTTGGTGTAGATGGATAAACATATAAATTCCTGGTTAACATGCATGGGTCTTTTGATAATGAGTTGTTTTTTTTCATATTAATGGTGCGTTAATAGTTCGTGTATATGGATAAATATATAAGTGCATGTTTAGTAAAAAAAATGGGTCTTTTGGTGATACGTTGTTTGCTTCAGGTTAATAAAAACTTTATATGTGTTCTCATATTGTTAGTGTCTTATACCATTGATAACAAATATGTTATCACGTTAATATCTATTTTAGTTAATGAAACATATAAGTGCCTGCTTAAGATGCACGGGTTTTTGGATAATGAGTTATTTGCTTCTCGTTAAGAAACCTTTTAAATGTGTACTCATAGTGTTAGCGTCTTAAATACTAGTGATAACTGGCTTGACGCTAATAATTATGTATCAATGTGATTAGGTGTATCCAATGGCACAGCACTGTGCGTGTGTTGTGCATCTCCAGCGTAACTTCCAGGCGATCTTCAAGAAAAATCATCTCAGCTATTTGGTGTCTCAAGCTGCGAGAGCTTACCTACCTTCCCAATTCTCTGAACTATTTGACCAAATTCGAGCTGTGGACTCAGGTTGCGCTGACTATTTGACAGCTATTGGATTCGAACACTGGACGAGGGCTCACTTCAACGGTCTCCAGTAAAACATCATGACCAGCAATGTAACTGGATCCCTCAACAATGTGCTCGCAGCTGCACGAGATTACCCAATTGTGCCATTGATCGAGTACATTAGGGCAACTCTGATGGGTTGGTTTAACACTCGTCGTACCCTCGCTTCGGAGACAAATAACACGCTAACCCCAAAGGTAGAGGATATCCTAGTTGCTAACTTTGAACTGTCAACAGAGTTTTCGTTCCGTCGGATAAATCAAGATGAATTCGAGGTCCGGAACAAAGAGGGGTTCCTTTCCTGGTTAACCTGGAGATGCAGGCATGCAGCTGTCAAGAATTCCAGATGTTGCGGATCCCTTGTTGCCATGCTGTAAGTCGCAGCGTTGAGATCTGAGACAAGGGTTGACTCCTTGGTTGGAATTGAATACACCACAGCTTTTTGGAACAAGGCATACGAGTGCAGCATCTACCCCGTAACAATGTCTGCGCAAACTCTTCCAGTAGGCGACGACTTCTCATCTCTTAACCTGAAGCCACCTAACACCCGCCGCCCCCCTGGGAGGCCACACAAAACGCGCATCCGATCTCGTGAAGAATTTGGGGTAATTTTTTTATTATCGACTCGGTTATCATTCTGTTTACCCGTGTAACTTTGAGAGTTAGCAAACTAACATTCTTATTACGTTGTTACAGGGAGGATTACCGAGGCGTTTAAACATCTGTGGTCGATGTGGTAGCTTCGGCCATAACCGCGCCTCTTGTAAGATGCCGATATAGCTATGGGAATGATGAATGGGGGCAACGGATTCCATGCAGTTGGTTCCTTTTTGTTGAGCTGCATAAACCGACACTATGTCGGTTTCAAATACTTTCTGTTTTTAATATGTTTTGTGTATTAATGAATCCAAGCAAACTATTCTCTAAGTTTCTGTAAAATATGTTTGTAAGATGATTTATTCTGTTGCCCCCACTATAAAGTATTTTTGTTTACTATGCCTGTCCACCTTTTTTATCTAGTTGTTGATATTTCCATCGCCCTAAAATCAACCAGACGTAGGCATAGAAAGTTCAAGTTAACATTCTCATTAGCATCTCTAACATATAAATTGGCTGATGTTGGTTTACTCTATTGATCTAACATTCTGATTACCGATTTATAAAACATGTTATCATATCATTTGATATTTGATACAGACCTACTTTTCAAAAAGTCGACATATGTTAACAGACGTAAATTAGAAAATAGTTTGACATGGCCAATGAATAAGCATGGGACAAATTCAACAAAGTCTTTAAACAAAAATAAGAAAATCAAACAGTAAACATAATAACAAATGTCTTTTAGCAAATTGTTAAGTCCTGCACCCCTTGGCTTACGCTGGAGCATCAAACTCCTCGAAAAACTTAACAGCCAAAACCTGACTCTCTTTGGCCATCACATCGGGAGTGAGCATGTTGCATCAGTCAATCCCTCCAACCGAGTGTAACATTATAAGCAGGGCAGTTGTAATACCAGAATCGCACATGATGCTGTTCTGTGGAATCCCTTTAGGTCGAACGATAACGTAAGGTTTAGACTCGCTAACACATTTGTTGGATGGACTTTAGTACATACGGTAACATCATTGATATGGGGGCCATCTCCTTCTTTATAGCGCTATCAGTCCTCAAAGAGAGGTTGCAATCCAACACGTGTATACTCCCAGCAGTTGTGTCAACAGCTATGCCAACCCAGTGCTCCTTGTCAAATTTGAACGACAAATACAAACAGCTCCGGCATAAGGATCTCTACGTTGTCCACCTCAAGGTGATCCATGACACCATCCCAAAATTTGAACCTATGACGATCTTTGACAGCCAAACGGGAAAACTTACTACAGGTCTTCATCAGTGCAGTCGTGAATTTGGTTTCAAGAAACGCCGTCTTGTTCAAATGAGACTCAGAAAAATGTCGAACATAGACAGCGCGGGTGTATAGGAGAAGCGCGTCCATCATCTAGATACAACAAAAACGCTTAGTTCTAAATAAATTATGGGCTCTACACTTTTATTTTACATAAAACAAACATCTAAACCATTAAACTGAAAACTTATGAACATAGTTATGTGACTATACATCTAACCCCCTAGTTATCTGATATTACTTTTGTTAGGCGTATAATGTCGTGGATAAAGTCGAACGACGGTGGAATGAAGGCATTACCTTAGGCATCATGGGCTTTGTCCTATCAGCTATATCTAGAACGTCCTTGTTGTTAACAGATGTGCCACTGCCAAGGTTGAATACCCTACATACGGAGACAAACTTTCAACACAAAATTCGTTGTAACATTATAGTGCAAATCAGAAAGTTCAGGTTAACATTCTAAGTAGCAACTCTAACATATCTATTGGCTGTTGTTAGTTGAACCTACCGATCTTACATTCTAATTACCATGATGGGGAGACCTTACCGATAGTTCTGCAACACCTCGTGTAATCGCGCAAACTTGGTAAAATAACTTGGTCATTCTTCAATGTGGCATAAAAAGGGATTGCTCCCCATCATGCATGAAACCCACTTCGGATCCACGTGGGAGTCGTTGAACGATGTTTGCACCATAGCCCTCTTGCCTCGCCACGGACCATCTCCTTCATCGCCAATTTCATCAACCGGGTCATCCCCATCCCCATCGCCTTCATCAGCACCATCCTGGCAAAAACAAACATATTAACAAGTCACAACTCACATCATTGTTACGCTTAATGTTATCAGATACACCTATAGTTATCTTAGTTAATAGAGATTGTAGACAGCTACAGCTCCTATTATGCGGTTATTTACGTTTGTATACAAAAATCAAATAGAGTAACTATGATACTAATCTTAACACGTACTTGTGTCTCTTCCGAGCTCTCGTTACTTTCGCCAGCTTCTGAACTCAGACCTCCAACTCCTTCGCCCTCCTGCTGCCTGTTGGTCGGTATTAATATTGTTAGCAAACGCAATGGCGTCATTTATAACTGCATCCGCTTGGACCTGTTGCCGTGTCTGGTGATTTGCAGTCCTTGCCCCTGTTCGTGCTGCATCGCCTTGCCTCTCCGCGTTTCCACGAGCCGTAAATCTATATTTTTCAGTGTCGTGCCTGTCGAATTCCGAAACAGACTTGCCTAGAAAACCAATAATGTTGGATATTACTTGTTCCTGCATTGATGTAATCATCCGTTCCATAGCTGTCTTCATCACAGTGCCAAGAGTGGACAAATTAGTTTCAATAGTCGATATCTTGTCGACAGCGGCTGCCACCTTTAGCTCAACTGGAGCTAGCTCTGCATTTACCGTGACATACAACAGTTCAGCTATGTTGGGGGGAGCAGTCGACGACGGACCAGCGGCACCAAGATTGGTTACATTTTCCTGGGCCTTCTCTTTCTCCCTCTCCTTCCGCTCCCTGATTTCCTTCCTCTCAAGGCGAATCTTCGCCAACTCAGCCTGAGACAAACCACCCTGAAACATGTTTTTGCGGAATTCAAAGTTCTCCCCGATGTGATTTACCATATTATCAACCCTTGGATCATCTTCCTCGTCGGACCAGCAAAATGCAGAATCTGAATCGTCGGGGATAATGCTAAAAACCAAGACTTGCATACAAAAAAGTTGCAGCATTATCACGAATGTTAGTCCGATAATAAAGTTGTTAAATAACAAAACATTTGTTACATTGTAAATTTTGAAGTTAACAGGTAAGATATTACCTTGCATCCTTCGTCGATTTCCCTTGCGTGACTTGGGCTTAGTCCGACAGTCGCCGACTCTGTGTGTGTCGAAGGCTTTCCAGCATTTTTCTCGGCATCGCCAGCAATCGATTGCTCATTTGAGGGGTTCTCCGGCATGTTGGCTGGGGCAACGTCATCGGACTCTCCCTCCTCTTCGTCTCCTTCAGATTCTGATTCCGAGGAAGACTCATTCAGTTGAACTACTTCGGTTAACGATGGACATGCCTCCACCAACACTAACTGTATCGCGTGAAAGAAACCTTTAACCGCTACCGTGCTTTGTGCCAGTGCAACTTCATCTTTAGATTTGATGCTAGACATCAACATCTCAAAACCCACTCTGTCCCACGGGTGTGAGAAAAACTCTTTGATGCTTCTAATCAATTCCACGTGTTCGGAGATGATTTTGGATATGTGATTGGTGGGGCACAAAACTGCGCCGGTTAAAGCGAGACATGCATACTTCAGTCGCGTCTCGCGGTCAACGACTATTTTCTTCTTCAACATCTTCACGACCGAGTCGATACAGCATGTCTTCAGATTTCCAAATAAGTCTGGCCAGTATGGCTTCTCCCGAATGGGGTTTCTCTTATTTTTCTTCTGCTTTTTTGGGTACTTGCCGCACGGCAGTCGGGTGACAATCGCAAATTATCGCAGAGACACTCTAATCGGACGGCCGGCGAAAAGAATCCATATTTCGTACTTTTTACTAACCTTGAGCAACCTCGTTATGATGAAGTGGCCAAAACTCCCAGGAAGGGAGGGTTTTTCCGTAGTCGCGATTAGTTTGCCAAACTGAGATTTTTGCATAAAATCCTTCTCCTCTTTGTCCAATGCGCTAAGGATGTTGTTAATCACCTTGGATTTGTGGTAGTAATTAACCCTTTCTCCGACAGGTTCTTCGCCGGCGGCGAATATTCTCTCCGGTAATGATAGATCCATCTTCTTTACTGAATTAGTGCCCTGCTCTCCCGATTATGTACAGACCCAGAACTGATAAAATGGGCTGTGACAAATGAGTGCAACCGAAACGCCGTATCGGTTGAAAATTTACTCCAAAAAAAATGTTGAATTTGAACAGTGTTTCAATTAATGTCATACCTTATCAATATTTTATTCGAATATTTGACACAATATTTTTCCTAGTACATAAGTGTCCGCATAGATGTGTAGGGGATAAAAGGTATTTAAAAAAATTGAACAGTGTCATTTTTTACCTTTGATTATTTTTGCAAATACTGATAGCGGGATGGTCATTCCTTATAATTATTCTATTTTTATTTGATAATTACATTTTTAGATCGTATAGATACGAGGCCATTTGTATTTATTTGAAAAACCAAGAGTTATAAAACTAAAAAAAATATTTCCCCAGTTATAAAACTATAAATAAATTGGTAATTTAAATTATTTGTTTTGAAAAATGTATTCGATACATTTATCAACTTATTTTTATATTTGACAAGTAGTATAATTAAAATATTTTGGAGGATATGTGTGATTGAGATTGTTTAGCAACCAATTTAGAAATTGATTGTAAGATGATGTTGGAAGAAATATCTACACAATAGGCCCAATTCATAAAAACGTTAACGTGAGCCACTAAATAAAAGGCTCGGTCCATTTTTATGTATTACCAAGAAAGTATTACCGTGGTCCAGTTTTTATTTATTGTATTACCATAATTCTTTTATTTAAATATGCAAATAAAATGTATATAGATATAATTACAAAAATGTTAGTTGATTGGTATCATATATATTATAAGTGAAGTAAAAATTTCGTTTAAAGTTCTCTCGTTGAATCTCAGAGTGGCTAATTACCCTTTATCCCTCCTTAAAATTATTTTTAATTTAAAAAAAAATTGTTTACAACTAAAATCACGATTATAATATTGGTTGTAATAAATTAAATCAAATCAAAATACATGATTTTATCTCAATTTGATCAAAATCTACGATTTTATCAAATCAAAAATCATGATTTTACAACTAAAATCACGATTTTTTAAAACAAAAATAAAAAACGAAATTAATTTTATTTAAATTAATTTTTATAAAAAAATATTAAAAATCAAAAATCATCAAATATAATTATGTTACTCCATAAATCTTTAAGTAAATCTTACTTAATAGATACTTAGATATTGTTTTCTTTTTAAAAAAAATATTTATATGAATTATTAAAAAACATTAAAAAATGAAAAATCATCATATATAGTTATGTTATTTCCTTAATCTTTAAGTAAGTCTTGATAAATACTTAGATATTGTTTTTTAATAAAAAAATATATATGAACTATCCGATTTGCAAAAATTTTAAAGATTTTTCAACCAATTTTTTTTCTTCACTTACACGGTTGTAATGTTTGGCGATCATGTAAGCTATATATTTCGTGTGTTTCACATTAGTGATCTTGTGACTTCTAAAAAAATAGTTTTTGTGCTGTTTAATTTTCTATTCGGTTGTTATTTTTGTTTTATATTCGTTTCTGTTAGCTCATGTAGATCTACATTTTTTTATATATGTTAGGTGATACTTTGTATCTTCCCTTTTATAGCTCTTTCAGGAATATATTTTGTTCTGATGTATATTAGAAGTTGGATTCTATTTATATTTTATAAATTCTTTTTATTAATAATAACGTTTGATGTTTTTTTTTCTGTTTAGGAGGTGATATGTTAGCCGGACTTTCTTGATCGTTGATTGTTTAGTTTACTGCTATACCAAAGGGTAACATTATATTTTCTTTTTTGTGCTTTAGGTTTAGATTTGTGATTTTTTTAATTATCTATCATATTTATGTTTTATATATTAGCCAATTTTGGTACACTTTTCTTTCTCTTTTATTAGTTGGGGCTGAGTCGAGCCTTTTTTTATTTATTGATTCTTATCTGTTTTAAGTTTTGATTGTTTTTGTTTTTTCTTTCTTAGGTGCTCGCGTTTTATTGTTTCATCTTGCGATGCAACAGATTTCATTTGCTGGGGATGAAGATCAAGATTATGGTCATGAACCGAACCAGTTCTCAGAGTTAGATAAGAGCGTTTTATATGTTTTAAAAAATTATTACAAAAGATCATGTATTCTGTTTTGTGGTGTAGGCTCTTGGTGACGATTCAGAATGGTCTATAAGACATTAAATATCTCATGGCAATGAACGTGAGTTCACCTGATTCTTGTGAAGGTTGCCAAGCTGATTGAACTTTTGGAAGGTACATGAAAATTTAAAAGAACACATACAAAAACACAGGTTTAATCATCGATCTGATTATGGATTATTACTTGATCTGATAAATCCTAAATTTATAACAGTTCAAAAGAAGTTTTGGTGAATGAGGTGCAGAACATGGTGGTCTATGTTTTATCCAAGACCTCACATGTCGCTGCCGAGAACAAAAGAAAACAAGCTAACAAGGAGTTTAGTTCCAGCAAAAATGTTAGTCCACTTGGCATATTCTTACTCTCAAAGTTAGTTCTATTGATAATAAATATGATACATGAACAAAATTACTATTTTTATTCGAACATCACTTTATTTGAATGGGCTTTGTGTGTGTTTTGTCTCTTATGTCCAGTGTTGGGATATTTTTTGATATTGGTTTCTGGTTCCTTTATTTTACCTATGGGCAAAGACAGGAGAAAAAAGTACCTATTTGTACTTTGAATCTTTTGCACGTTTCTCCGACTGAAATCTTTTTCGTGTGGAGTGCTTTCATCTCATGTGTTTCCAGTTGAGTTTGAACTGTTAATTATAAAATGTTGTTTTTGGATCAGAGTAAAACTTCTCTTGCTTAAGTTTCACAAAAGATGTAAAATTTATGTTTAAGTAGCTAAAACTCTAAGTTTTCTTAAGTTTGTATGTTGGAAGGATTCAATTCCATCTAATTTTGTATTTTCTTTATTTTTTAAAATTATTTAATAGGGTAACAAATAAATATTCTAGCACAACAATGTGAAAGAAATCGATGATAAATTATATACAAAAATCTGCAAATCTTGGGACCGTGAAAATGTCACAACCCTTTTGTGGAGACTCTATTTTACTTAAAGTCTTATTTTGATATTTGTTTTAATTTTTGATATTTTTGTTATTAGCATAGTTAAGAACTTTTGAGAATTTCTTTTTGGTATATATGTTTAAGCTCTTTTTTAAAGTTGATTACCTAGAAACAGTTTTGATTGTTCGAAAGGAGCAAGCTACAAAAGTTAATGCAGCTTTCTTATCTAACAATAATTATAACACACTTTTTAAGGAGAGTTTTAAGTTTGAAATGTGTATTTATCTTTTTTCTCAGCCTCAAAATATATAGAGTCATAAAAAGTATGAAAAGTACGTAATATGAAAAAAAAATCATAAGGAGAAAAAGAATAAACCGTAAAAACAAAAAGAAGAAGAAGACGAAGAAGACGAATGTGTTAAATAATAATAGTAAAAGATGTGAACTATAAATTTGAATAAAAAATATGGGAAGAAGAAAAAAAATGAAAAATAAGACATGAAAAAAAACAAGAAAAAATATGGACAAAAGAAGAATAAGGAAAAAACGATGAAGAAGAAAGAAAAAAAAAATAATGAAGAGGAAGAAATAGGAAACGAAAAACTAGAATTTATTTTCATTAAATTAGTTTGTGGATTATTCAGTTATAAAGTATTTTTTAAATAATTAATTTTGAATTTTGTTTACTGTTTTAGCTAACTTTCTTTTGTTTTTTAATGTCTTAAATAGTTGTTTTAATTATTTTCAATTTATAGCATAAATTTTTTTTTTTTTATTTTAAAAACCTTTTGACCCGCGCAAGTCGCGGACTAAATACCTAATAATTATAAATTTATATACTAATTATGCAATTGCAAATAATAATTATAATATATATTTATTTCGTAATACAATTACATAAATTAATGCTAAATAAGTAGTGGTTTTATAATTAATTTTAATAGTAATTTTTATATGAATAAAATTACATATTTGAATATACTAAATTTGATTAATACGTTCTATATAACTGGTTTAATACTAACTAAGATATTTTGTTTTTGATGTAAAAAAAAATTGAATTATAATACGTATGAAAAAATTAATTTTTTTTCTTAAATGAATAAAATAATTATTTAAAAAAAAATCAAATAAAGATGAGATAAAAGAATATAATATTTAGTAACATAAGTGATATTATGTATTAAACTTTTATAAATATATCGATAAAAAATTAAAAGAAAAAAATAAAATATCTTTACAAATTAAATGTTGAGTATTAAATATATATAATTAATATAATATCTTATCAAATTAATGTTAAAGACATATGATGTAATTACTCTAAAAAAGTAAATATTTTTTATATGTATTTTGGAAAACTCTTTCATGACGACACATTAACATAGCGTTCTTGTAAATTACATATCAAATAAAGATTGTTTTTAAAATATTCTTCTTAATTAATAGTATAAGATGTGAATTAGCATTAAATTTCAAATTTCAAAAATCAAAAACCAATGCGTAACAACCCGACCTCTCGGAGTCGGTTATTATTAAATTCAATTTCCGGTTTATTTAAATTAGACCATTTTTCTTAATTAAACATATTTTTAATCTCTTTTTAATCTTCTGCGAGTCCATTAAACCCAGTCCAAACTAAGTTAACCTAAATATAAATACCATAATCCTTCATTAAGCTTTCTAAAACCCTGTCTGTGTGACCCAACACTAGCTCAACGGTGGGGGAAAGGTACGCCAATCCTTCTTAGGGTTTTAGAAAGAGGAGAGACTAGGGTTTTAGAAAGCTTAATGAGAGATTAAGATATTTATATTTAGGTTAATTTAGTTTGGATTGGGTTTAATGGGCTCGCAGAAGATTAAAAAAGAGTAAGAATAGGTTATCTAAAAAATTGGTCTAATTAATAAACCAGAAATTGAATTTAATATCACCCGACACTGAGAAATCGGGTTGTCACACAATGGATACACTTTTATTTTTCCAATGGATACACTCGCACCTCCCTAGTGTAATATATATATATATATATATATATATATATATATATATATATATATATATATATATATATATATATATTTGTTAGTTGGTGCGGCCTACAGTAATTTACGTACAACATCTCATCTACCCCTAAATCAATGGAGCTCAATTTCTAAAAGCTTAGATAACAATCAAATAACCTAAATATCTTTTTAGAAAATTTGGCATGTAAGACCGAGAAATAGTGTATCCATATTGGTGATCTAATAAAGTATTACCTCCCACAAAAAAAAAAGTTCATAAATGTTCTACAAACTAAAATTTCATCAGAGCAAGCGACTGCAGTTCCCTCAGTATCCAATGATGTTTTATAATCATTTAAGATGTCAAACCATATCTCTACACGATTCTATAAATATCAACCTCATCCAAGTTTTTTAGTTTAATTAGAGATATGGTTTGACATCTTAAATGAAATGGCGTCACTTTTTAGGTAACATGATTCTATCCATTCTCATCAACACACTCCCTAATGAAATGGAACCTCCTATGAATATGTTTACTTCGCCCATGAAAAACAGGGTTCTTGGTCAGTGCTATCGCAGATTGATAGTCGATTCGTATGAGAACCCTATCGCATGGTGAACCAGTAATTTGACTAAGTAAATCCTGTAGCCAAATTGCTTGCCTTGCTGCTTCAGTTCCTGCCATGAACTCAGCTTCACAAGATGTTAAGGCCACAACATCTTGTTTTTGTGAACACCAACTGATTGGACTTTCTCCAAAATAAAATATGTGCCCAGCTGTACTTTTGCCATCGTCTGGATCAACATTATGTGAGTTGTTGCTGTAACCAACTAACCTTGGCACCTTTGAACTTAAAGTCCTAAATTCCAAGTCGAGACCAGGGTTCCTCTCAAGTATCTTAGGCAATGTGTCATTGCAGCTCCATGGGAATCTCGAGGACTCTGCATATAACGACTTAGGACTCCAACAGCAAAGGATAGATCCGGTCGTGTATGCAGCAGGTATCAAAGGCAACCTACATTCTTTCTGTATCTTGTGGCATCAACCTCCTTTTCTTCTACAGAATTTGACAGATGCATTCTGATCTCCATTGGCGTGTGAGCCAAGTTACAGTTTGCCATCCCAGATTCTTCCAAGATTTTCAGAGCATAGCGTCTTTGATTTAAAGTTATTCCCCCTTTGTATTGATGTACCTCAATACCCATATAATAGGTCAACTTACCAAGGTCTCTCATATCAAACTTCGATGCCATCTCTTTCTTGAACTCGTCAATGACACCATTGTTTGTTCCGGTAACAAACAGATCCTCCACATAAACTGCTACCAAGAGAAGATGTTCTCTTATCCTTTTCTGATAAATTGATGGCTCCTTAGAACATCTTTTGAATTGCAGTTGCAGGAGAATCTGATTTAAATTATTGTTCCATGTCCTTGGAGCTTGTTTTAAGCCGTACAGAGCTTTATGAAGCTTGTAAACCTTTCCTTCATATCCCTTCTCTTGAAATCCCTCTGGTTGGGTCACAAACATTGTCTCCTTCAATTCTCCATATAAAAACGACGTTTTGACGTCAAGATGATGTATCTCCATTCCTTAGAAGCTGGGAGACTGATAAGAAGCCTTACTGTCTCAAGTCGAGCTACTGGAACAAAGACTTCTTCAAAATCAACTCCATATCGCTGTATATAACTTTTCGCGACTAAATGGGCTTTGTATTTATTGATGCTTCCATCGAAATTTCTTTTGAGTTTGAAAACCCACTTTAGACCAATCGGTTTTACTCCATGTAGTAAGTTCACAAGGCTCCATGTCTGATTCTTCTTGATTGATCTATTCTCGTCCTTGCAAGCCATTGTCCATTCTTTCGATTCACTCGCTTCCTTGAAGCTCCTTGGTTCATCGTTTAGACAAAGTAATAATCTAATCGCCTTTTTCCTCTGCAAAACACACATAATCATCAAGATATTTTGGTTTCCACGATTCTCTTTGCGATCTCCTTAGTGCAGGTGGAGACTGATGATGTGTCTCTAAGTCTGCATCTTCGTGCTCATGTGGAGCTATAAATTCACCATTATCGGCTTTTTTTACCTCGTTATGAGTCTCTGTTCTTCGTTCTTGCTCTGGTTGAAAACACTCGTTTCGATGCCGTGATTTCCAAAATCTCTGAAGGTGATTTTAAAACTTCCATCTTGTTGTTGTCCTGTACTGCTAGAATTCCAATTCCAGCTCTTTGATTCGTCGAAGACAACATCCGACTAACAATTATCTTCTGAGTTTGAGGGTCCAGTAATCTATACGCTTCTGAACCCGGTTCAGTGCCGAGGTGCACAAGCTTTCTTGATCGATCATCTAACTTTTTCAAATGTGGCATCTCCACCTTGGCATAAACACATTGTCCTTGAAGCCACTCGATTTAGAAGATAAGTGGAGTGTCTTATCGCCTCTCCCCATAAGTAGTTTGGCACATGCATATGCTTCATGATGCTTCTCGTCATTCCCATCATTGTTCTATTTCGCCTTTCAACCACACCGTTTTGCTGCTGCGTGTATGGTGCGGTGAGGTGCCTTTTGACTCCATGATTGTTGCAAAAACCGTTAAAATCATGTGATACAAACTCTCCTCCTCTGTCTGTTCTAAAATTTTGTATCTTTTCTCCTGATTCTTGCTCTACAGAACTTTTAAATCTCTTGAATTTGTCGAAGCTTCACCTTTTTCTTTCAGCAAAACAGTCCACATGTACCTGGAATAGTCGTCAATGAGGACAAAGATGTATTTGTTTCCTCCGGCTGTGCTTGGTGTTATGGGTCCGCACAAGTCGCCATGTACAAGCTCGAGTTTCCTGTTAGCTCGATACGCAGTAGCTTGGGGAAAAACCTTCCTCCTTTCTCAATGACGACTTGTGGAATTCATTCTACAAGCTCTCTTTGTATCAAGTTCTTTATATTGGCCATGTTGACATGTCCTAATCTGACATGCCACCTGCTTGAATCGCTCATCAGCGTTAGCTGTAGACACGCATTGTCTGTTATTTCTATTCGGACTTCGAGATCTACTTGCTTTGACAAGGAGTTTCCCTTTGTTGTCGTGCATTGTCAGGTAGTCTCCCTTCATCCTTATGTCACATTCTGATTCAGTTGCTTGACGGAGACTGATTATGATCTTAAATCTGGGATGAAGTAGACGTTGTTCATCACTCTTGAGTCCCCGTTTCTATCAATGAATGATATCGATCCTTTTCCTTTGATGTCAATTCGTGAATCATCACCAAAACAAACTTTCCCTGTAACAGAGTCATCAAGTTTCATGAAATACCTCCGATCACCAGTCATGTGATTGCTCGCACCGTTGTTGAGATACCATATGTATTCTTCTTCGGTGTTAGTTTTATATTTGCTTGGTGTGCAGTTCTTCTCATTCAGGTAAACCACTTCATGCATTAATAGTTCATCTACATCCTCGGTTTCTTCTTCGGTATTTTCTTGGGCTTCTTGCAACTTTAGTAGTCGATCTGGGCAGCTTGACGCATAGTGGCCTTGTTTGTCACATCGATAGCAAGTGATTTTTGATAGATCAACATTCCTCGTTGAATCTCCTCTTTCACCGTTAAAACGGCCACATCCTCTTCCTCTTGAGTAAAATCGTTCACCGCATCCCCTGCCTCTGTTTTCACCATTGAAGTTTCGATTTTGAGCCTCTGTATTCATCCACATCAACTTAGTCTGATCTTCTTGAGTTTCTTCTTCTTCTTCAAAGATACGTTCTTCGTTTGCCTTTAGTCGACCAGTAATATCTTCGAAGCTTGTAGTATTAAGGTCCAATACATGTTCAAGAGATGCAACAATGTGGATGTATTTCTTTCTTGTGAGGCTTTTAAGAAACTTCTTAACTAGTTTTGGTTCTTCAATAGTGACTCCCAAAGCCGCAGATTTTGATGAGATTTCAGACAGTTTTCCTGAGAAATAATCGATTGACTCTGTATATTTCATCTTGAGTCGGTCGAATTCAGCCATTAGGGTTTGTAGTCTCGCATCTTTGACCCTGTCTGCTCCCATGTGTCGCGATTTTATTGCTTCCCATACTTCTTTTGCTGTGTTTAATTCAGTGCCTTCGGTATGGACTGAAACAATAAAGCTATCGTTAGGTTGTTTTTCTCTTCATCCTTCGTCCCAACTTCTATGGTTTCCCACACTTTGTGACATATCTTCATTCTCATGGTCCACACAGTGTAATTTGTTGTATTGAGCATAGGACATTGGATTGAAGAAGGTCTTCTTCCTTCTTTAGATTTGTCTGTCGCAGGTATAATATCGTCCATGATATTATACTTGATGATCTTTGTATTTGAACTCTAGGTTAGATTCTGATACCAATTCTAGAATTCAAGGGTAATTAGCTCAAGAACACAATGCTTAAAAGAAATTACTCTTCTTTATTAATGTTTTAGAAAACTTTCTCAAAAACTAAAAGTTATCACAAAACTCATAAGTGTTTGCAACAACTCTGCAACTTTTTATATAATAGTTTAAAAATAACTCCTAATCCCTCTAGAATTAGATATTAGATAACTCTTAATACATATTATTGGATAACTTCCTAAAACAACACCAAGTATTTTCTAATTACTCTAGAAAATATCTAAACTAAATTCTCCACCAAGTTAACTTCAAACTTATCCAACAGTTTGGTTAACCTGAACCGAATTGAACCACAAAAAGTGATTTGAAGACTCTGCCAAAATTAACAGATAATCCAATTGGTTTTGTTTGGTTCTTGGTACCGATTTTTTTTTTGGGAAATTCGATTAAGATCGGTTAGTTTCTGATAAAGTCGGATAGTTTAGTTTGGTTTAATTTGGGTATCAGGCTAATTTGGTATAAACTGGTCTAGTTGATTATATCTGATTATTAAAAAAAAACAATTAACCGGAAAACCAAGAGAACCCATTTAAAAACCTGCCGATCAGTTCGGCCGAAAGAACCTCAACCAAACCAAAAACTGAAAATATCGGTTTGGTTGACTATCCCAGCCATAATCACGACTTTAAAAAAGGTATGATAGGGCACTATAGAACCGCAGTTCCTACAAGACTAGTCCTACTCCTACCCAAAGAGGTAAAGACAAAGAAAATGAGATAGTCGTTTTAATACCCCAAAGATTTGATCTGAGTTGGCAAATTTAATAAATGGTTTTCAATCTCTACTTCGACTTGACCCCTCAACTTAATTGCCAGCCTTATCTCCCCTTTATGTGCAATCACACGAGATAGAGAGATTGAAGAAGATAAATGGTTTTCTGATTAATTTCCCAAATGGTCAAGCATGGCCTACATATTTAGTTTGTTGGAAATAGCTAACAGTTTAACACACTAAACCGGTTTACATAATTGAAATAGCTGAACCAAATAAAATAAGGTATATACTTGAAATGAGATAAACCAGAGGACAAGGGAAATCTTGTCCCAAATTAATTTCCTTACTCAAAAAAAATCTGTTTCAAAAGTTCACTAATCAATACATTCACGAAGGATGGGGACTTTGGTTAACCAAACTAAATCAACTTGGTCAATTTGGATATCGGTTAACAAAATAATTTGAAGACACTACCAAAATTAACTGATAATCCAATTGGTTTGGTTTGGTACTCGGTTAAATATATATTTGGTGAATTTCAGTTTTAAATCAGTTATTTTCCTATAAACTTGGGTAATTTAGTTTGGTTAAATACAATATTGGTGAAATTTGATCTAATTTAGTATAAATCGGCATAATCTGATTATTTTAAAAAAAAAAATCAACCGAAAAACCGACCAAACCCCAATTGAAAACCTACCAATTGGTTCAGCCAAAAGAACCAAAACCAAACCAAAAACTGAAAATATTGGTTCGCTTAAAGTATGATAGGTCCGCAATCCCTACAAGACTAGTCCTACTGCTACCCAAAGACAAATTAAATGAGATTGGTTAAAGTCGTTTTGATACCCCAAAGATTTGATATGAGTTGGCAAATTTAATAACATTTCCCCACTTACTAATTCGACTTGACCCGGATCCAAATAATTGCCAGCCTTATCTCTCCCCTTAATTGCAATCACACATATACCCTTTAACCAGAGAGAAGCTTTTTGTGACTCGTGACGACGATACCTTTTTTTAGCTTATATATACACAACACACACATACACACACATCAGAAAAGCTAAAAAAAGACGATATTCTTTTCCTTCTTCTCTCTCTCTAAATCATAACACAAGTTTCCGGCAGATCAACTGTTTTCTTCTTTCGTCTTTATACGTGTTCATCAATGGCGTCTTTTCACTGATCCTAGTCCTATCAAACCCACTTACCACCCATTATAATTAATTCCCAAAACAAAAAGATCCTTTTTTTTTATTCCTTCTCTTTCGATCTCTCGTTATATATTCTATATTGCACACATACACTCGTGCACGATCGACGAAAGTTAACGTTTTTTTTTCGAATCCGCCATGGAAGCTGCAGAACCAGTCAATGGCGGATCCGTACAGATCCGGAACGAGAATGGGTCACGAAAGCTTCCGAATTTCTTACAGAGCGTGAACATGAAATACGTCAAGCTAGGTTACCATTACCTGATTACTCATCTCTTCAAGCTCTGTTTGGTTCCGTTAATGGCGGTTTTATTCACCGAGATCTCTCGATTAACACCAGACGATCTCTACCAACTCTGGCTCCATCTCCAATACAATCTCGTCGCCTTCATCCTCCTCTCTGCTCTAGCCGTTTTCGGGTCCACCGTCTTCATCATGACCCGACCCAGATCCGTTTACCTCGTCGATTACTCTTGTTATCTCCCTCCGGAGAGTCTCAAAGTCAAATACCAGAAATTCATGGATCACTCGAAGCTAATCGAAGATTTCAACGACTCTTCTCTCGAGTTTCAGAGGAAGATTCTCGAGAGATCGGGTTTAGGAGAAGAGACTTATCTTCCCGAGGCTTTACATTGCATCCCTCCGACTCCGACGATGGTGGCGGCGCGTCAGGAAGCTGAGCAGGTAATGTTTGGTTCGCTAGACAAACTCTTCGAGAACACAAGAATCAACCCTAGGGATATTGGTGTTTTGGTAGTGAATTGCAGCTTGTTTAACCCGACTCCTTCGTTATCGGCCATGATTGTTAACAAGTATAAGCTTAGAGGGAATATTAAGAGCTTCAATCTAGGTGGAATGGGGTGTAGTGCTGGTGTTATCGCCATTGATTTAGCTAAAGATATGTTGCAAGTTCATAGGAACACTTATGCTGTTGTGGTTAGCACAGAGAACATTACTCAGAACTGGTATTTCGGGAACAGGAAGGCCATGTTGATTCCTAATTGCTTGTTTCGTGTTGGTGGAACCGCGGTTTTGCTTTCGAATAAGAGCAGGGATCGTAGACGGTCTAAGTACAAGCTTGTTCATACGGTTAGGACTCATAAAGGAGCTGATGAGAAGGCTTTCAATTGTGTGTACCAAGAACAAGACGATAACGGGAAAACCGGTGTTTCTTTGTCTAAGGATCTTATGGCTATAGCAGGGGAAGCGCTTAAGGCGAACATCACTACTTTAGGTCCTTTGGTTCTTCCTATAAGCGAGCAGATCTTGTTCTTTGCTACTTTGGTTGCGAAGAAGTTGTTTAATGCTAAGTTGAAGCCTTACATACCGGATTTCAAGCTTGCGTTTGACCATTTCTGTATCCATGCTGGTGGTAGAGCTGTGATTGATGAGCTGGAGAAGAATCTGCAGCTCTCGGAGAGGCATGTGGAGGCGTCGAGGATGACGTTGCACAGGTTTGGAAACACTTCATCGAGCTCGATATGGTATGAACTGGCTTACATTGAGGCTAAAGGGAGGATGAAGAAAGGGAACAGAGTTTGGCAGATTGCTTTTGGAAGTGGGTTTAAGTGTAACAGTGCGGTTTGGGTGGCTCTGGGGAATGTCAAGCCTTCGGTTAGTAGTCCGTGGGAACATTGCATTGACCGATATCCGGTTAAGCTTGAACTCTGATTCAATCATTTGGTATCAACATGGTTAGTCCCTAGTCTATTTGGCTCTTCCTTGTTTATTGCTTTTTGTTTCCTTTTTTTTTCTTTTTCCATTGTTCGATTGTTCTTGTACTCTTAATTTGATGCTTCTTGAATTATTACTCACTTTGTGTTTTATGGCATCTTGAGCCACCTATTTGCATCTCTATTTGCCATACTAGTTGGAACAAGAATCAAAATAGGAGTTTGTTTTTGGAAAACACTAGATTCATCTATGACTGATATAATCTAGGCTTCATGTAGTTGTGCTAATTGAATTTTCCTTGATTTCTTGTTCTAACATTTGAAATTTTCATTAAATAGAAGTAGATACGAAATAATCTTCTTGAATTACACTTAAGGTGAGAATTTAAACATAGTGGTTTGAGATGAATTCACATTCATTCTGCATTTTACATTCTACATGTTGGAACAAGAATCAGAATATATGGACTTGCGAGGCTTCAAAAACAGGATTTGAAACTTTTCAACAAAATTTTCTTTAGTACTAATACAAGTAACCAAAACCAAAGATGAACAAAGTTGGACGCAAGATTACTTGTATTAGATGCTCATTGTTGGATTTGGCAGTGCCAAGATTCCACATAACACCGGAGATTCTATATTTTCGCGGAACACGCCGATACAGCCACTGCAATCGGATGCATTTTGTGTCCTTTCGGTTCCTAAGTCAAACACACGGATTCTATCAAAGATAGCATCAGAGTCAATGAATAGCAGAGATTCCCAGTCATGGTCATACCCAAGAAACATCGGTCCTCTTAAGTCATTGATTCGAACCCATCTCCTCTTGCCTTCCTCTTCTTGGAGCCTAAACAATCTGAACCACGTATGCATTTATATTCACGACCATACGGCCCTGGGGTAAACCGCTGCACCAGCAAGAGCTCCTCCTCTCTTGAGACAACCAATCTCTCGTCAAAAGACTCATGAGACTGTATGACTGATTGGATCTCGCTAACAAAGATATGTCCTCGTCCACTCATATCAACAACATAAAACGTTCCTTTGAATGAAACCATATCTCGATATGATCTAAACCGACCCTCGATTTCAACCCATTTCTTGTCACAGCTTCTATGCATCATTATATCCCCAAACACTCCAGCTACTACTACAAAATCTATATCAAAGATTTCTCTAGGAGAATCCTTACCAATGAAACAGAGTTATTCTTTCAAAAAATGCAAAGGTAACAGAACCAGCCTTGTAGTCATAAGTGATAACCCAATGGGATGATTTGGGAGCTAAGAGTGTTGAGAGTTATCATCCCATATTTAGGTGCAAAACAAGAATCTATAAATGGCGACAGCAACTTCAGTTTACCAGATTTGCTCTGGCTCATCCCTACCAATAAATAATCAGCACCAAAAGGAGTCTTGAATCTCAAGAGATAAGTTGGATTTTTTTTTTTTTAAAGTTTGCAATGCGTATCTTCTTGGAACCGAGGGTCGTGATTGGAAGATGGCTATTAGCGCCTAAGCTGCGGTTAGTTCCGAGTCTGCTTGGCGAATATGGACGAAGACACACTCCACACTGGACTACGGAGAATATAAGACAGAGATAACAAGAGCTGTGGAATACGAATAGTGCCACTTTTCTGTTCATTTCCTACAACCGGGTCCTTCGAGGTGTTCAACCACGAGCTGATGAGGAGGGTATCTTCCGCAGGACTCCACGGTCGTCTAATCATTGCTAGTCACTCCAACCTCTTCTACTTCTTCGGTGGAAGCTTGGGTACCGAAGGCATGGTTTTCGAAGGAAGGGTATGGATTTGGGTAAGGTGACACACTCTCTTGTTGACTTTGTAAAAGATCAACAAAGTTTGAGGTGTTGCTAAAGGGAAATGGAGAAGACATCCTTGGACAAAAGAAGAGAGGACAAGAAGGATTGCAACTGATACGAGAAGAGATGAAAGAAGAGAAGACTAGATTTTTGGAAGTGATACGAGTGTCCGAGTTCAAAGAGATGAGAAAGAGAGGGCTTTATACTAGCATGAAAGAAGAAGGAACAAAAGTGTCCGCTAAACCCTAAACAAACATTAACTACACACTAAACACAAGCATTCAACCCAACCTAACACAATATGCATTGATCACAAGCAGAAGAGACTTGACACATATCTAACTTTTACATTAACTAATCCCCTCTTCCATTTATTATCTAACACCACCTAAACCCACATCAAAATAGCATTTACTACAATTAACTAGGAAGTGACTGAAGCTAACCTTTTTAGGAAGTGATGATATCCTAAACCGCTCTGCTTCTTCTCTCCTCTTCATGTCATTCCATCTCCATTTACTCATTGTGCAGAGAACAAAAACAACAGTAGGTGAACACAACTACACAAACAAGACAAGTAATCCACACTCAGAGTTAATGAACTTCAACTACAAACCAAAGAATCAACTTTAAACCCATTCACAAACTCATACAAACTCATCTATCATTGAGCAAAACAAAATTATCGATACTTAAAGTTTCAAAACAAAATCATCTATCATTCGTCGATCAAAACAAACTAAAAATTTTTGCCAATCATCATAAACCCTAAACGAAATCAGAAGACCAAAGACAAAACCATTAATCAGCCAAGACAAATCATTTCTCGATCATAGCAAACCATTTCATCCGATCATCAAAAACCTAAATCAGCATACATATCCAAGCACAACCAATCATCGCTACCTACCTCTGAACCCTTTCAGTAAACCATTTCATCTGAGGTATTCAATCTAAACCCAAAAATCAGAACAATTTTAATCGATTCTTCGTTTACCTTCTCCAACGGTTCCATGGATCCAGAAGCTTCAAGCCTTCACAACTCCTCGATTCCGCCAATCAGTTGTTCAGAAGACATCACCGCCACCGTCTGAAACTTGCTGACAAAGAATTCCGATGAAATCGACGACTTGCGATTTGACGGAGATAACGAAGAAAGAAGAGAGGAAAATGGTTTTGGGAGATGAAAATATTGTTTGAGGACCCAAAAAAAATTTTCTCTTCTCCTTTTTTTTGTGTCCAATGATTTTTCGCCACGTGTGTAGAGAACGTTTCTCTCAGCTTCAATTTAGGCGACGTCTCTCTCCCTTTTTGTTGTTTTTGATTTATTTAATTAAGAGAAATTTGGTAGAGACAGGAGTTAAATACCCTATTGCATATGCTCTAACAACGAAAAGGAGACGAAGAAACGAAAGAGTTTTCAAAAGAATCTCAAGCTGAGTTTCTCTTCGATGAACATGTAGGTTGATGTCCCCACATTCACCATTGCTCCGAACTTGAAAAAGGTTTGATATATCCTAGAGTTTCGATGTACGTGCATAATGGACATATTTGTGTCTTGAGGATCCATATATAACTCAAGCCCATTAATACCCATGATATTTTTTTATAAAAGTAGGTCTTTTGGTTGTCCCACATCGAAAAAGGGGAAGCTGCACTATAAATAAGAGTTTCATTTTCTGTCAAATTAGTAAAATAACTCAGGCATGTTGCACATCAGTTGGGCCTATGTTACGCCCGTCATTTTTCTAAGAGTCTCCGATTATTCAAATAATTAACCTGAGTTTCATTTTTTAAATTGGTTTTCGGCCGAAGAAAATCGGTTATCCGCTTAAGCGCATAGGCCAAAATTGCGAAGTCACAGTTCAGCGCTTAGTCGGCTTAGTGCTGCGAAACCCACGTATAATTTTCCGAGAGAAACCAAAAAGGTTATTTAAGCCAAAATCCTTCCAACTTTGACGATGAGTATTATGCTATCATTTTCTCGGCGCCTGAACTCCTATCATCTGCTCAATCAAACTCAATTTCTCCGCCGATTTTCTGCTGATGTTTATCCACCGCCGGGAATCAAATCGGAGAGTCAGAAATCGGTGGAAGTCCAATTTTTAGATAATCTTCAGAAAATCCCGCAACATGATTGGGTGTCGAGCGAGTCGCTAAGTTCGCTTCTAGCATCTTCTTCCTCTGTTTCTCCTCTAGTATTCTCTCAAATCACACGGCGGCTGGGATCATACTCTCTGGCAGTTTCGTTCTTCGAGTATTTGGATGCGAAATCTCAGTCTCTAGAACGGCGCGAAGATGCTCTCTCCTTGGTGTTTCAGTCGGTTATCGAATTCGCCGGTAGTGAACCAGACTCGCGGGATAAGCTTCTCCGGCTCTACGAGATTGCCAAAGAGAAGAATATCCCGCTTACCGTCGTTGCCACTAAGCTTCTCATCCGGTGGTTTGGGCGTATGGGAATGGCAAACCAGTCGATTCTTGTATACGAACAACTCGATTCGAATATGCAAAACACGCAAGTTCGAAATGTTGTGATCGACGTCCTGCTCAAAAATGGACTTGCGGATGATGCCTTCAAGGTGCTCGACGAAATGCTTCGGAAAGAATCAGTTTTTCCTCCTAATAGAATTACGGCTGATATTGTTTTCCATGAGGTTTGGAGGGGAATGCTTTTGAAAGAAGATGAGATTATTAGGTTGATTTCAAGATTTAGCTCCCATGGCGTTTCCCCAAGCTGTGTTTGGTTGACTCGGTTTATAACTAGTCAATGCAGAAATGCTCGCGTTGATGTAGCTTGGGAGATTTTGAGCGATCTGATGAAGAACAAAGCCCCGCTTCAAGCTCCTTCCTTCAATGCGCTTTTGACATTCTTAGGAAGGAATATGGACATTGGTAGAATGAATGCCATAGCTTTAAAGATGGATGAGATGGAAATTCGGCCTGATGTAGTAACTTTGGGGATTCTTATCAACACTTTGTGCAAATCAAGGAAGGTGGACGAAGCTCTCCAAGTTTTTCAACAAACGTGTGGAAAGAAAACTGATGATGGAAATGTGATTAAAGCTGATTCCATTCATTTTAACACTCTCATCAACGGGTTATGCAAGGTGGGGAGGATGAAAGAAGCGGAGGAGCTATTGGCAAGGATGAAAATGGAAGAGAATTGTGTGCCAAATACAGTTACTTACAATTGCTTGATTGGTGGGTATTGCATAGCGGGACAGCTTGAGTCGGCTAAAGAAGCTGTTTCTCGGATGAACGAGGACGGGATTAAACCGAATGTGGTCACTCTTAATACAGTTATTGGTGGAATGTGCAGGCACAATGGAGTGAACATGGCGGTTGGTTTCTTTATGGATATGCAAAGGGAAGGCTTGAAAGGTAATGTGGTTACGTATATGACACTGATCCATGCTTTTTGCTGCGTCGGTAACGTAGAAAAGGCTATGCATATGTTTGAACAAATGTTGGAAGCTGGTTGTTCTCCTGATGCAAAGATCTATTATGCTTTGATCTCTGGGTTGTGCCAAGCTAGAAGAGATCATAACGCAGTGAGAGTGGTGGAGAAACTGAAACAATCAGGGTTTTCTCTTGATTTATTGGCTTACAACATGCTTATTGGGTTGTTTTGTGATAAAAATAACGGAGAGAAAGTCTATGAGATGCTAACCGATATGGAGGAAGCAAAGTTGAAACCGGATTCCATCACTTACAACACTCTGATTTCGTTTTTTGGCAAACTCAAGGACTTCGAGAGTGTTCAGAAAATGATGGAGAATATGAGAGAAGATGGGTTAAACCCGACTGTCGTGACATATGGAGCGATAATCGAAGCTTATTGCTCAGCTGGGGATACAAACGAGGCATTGAAGCTATTCAATGACATGGGTTTGCACTCCAAGGTCAATCCAGACACTGTGATATACAACATTCTCATAAACGCATTTTGCAAGCTTGGGAATTTCGGAAAAGCACTGTCTCTAAAAGAGGAAATGAAAGAGAAAATGGTGAGACCGAATGTTGAAACATACAATGCCTTGTTCAGGTGTCTTAAGGGGGAAAACCAAAAGGAGACGTTGTTTAAACTGATGGATGAGATGAACGAGCTGTCATGTGAAGCCAATCAGACCACCTGGGAGATTCTAATGGAGCGTCTCACAAGTTCTGATGATTTGATTAAGCTGAAAAAGTCTTTGCAAGGTTACTCTGTTGCCTCTCCGATCGAGAAAGCTTCACCTTTCAATGTCTTTAGCTTGGGATAATGGTTCAGTTTCAGTAACCTCTACCTCGATTCTTTGCTACTTTTATACAATTACGCAATCGTTAGTTTATTGTGCAATTGTAATAACCGAACAAAAAGGAAGATATTCCTTTGTTTTGTAATTTTAGCAGTTAAGGTGAAATGCATTTCTACCATGCGCAGAACCCTTTTCCTTTGGTTGTTTAAAAATACATATAAAAAAAAAGAGGCTCGGTATTGAGCTGAGTATACTTAGCATAATGAAAGAACGTTAAAAGCAACAAACAAGAACATAAACATTTAAATTCAAGGAATACAAGAAAGAGAAAGAGCTACTAATCTAGCTTGAATCTAGTTCCAAACAAATTCTCTAGCTTACTCATGACCAACTGCGACGACTTCACTTTCCCATTCTCGTAATCCTTATACAATTCTCTCTTCATGCCGATTGTTATTTTCTACAAAAACAGAACAATCGGCATTTGATGTGATTTGTGAAAGCAGATCGTTTTGCAAAATTTTAACTAAGTTTGTTTGTTTTCTAAGTAGAAGTGTAATGGTTGTGTTTTCAACTCTGTTGTCCCTAACGAGTGCTAGTTGTGTTATGTTTCTGCCTCTGCAGCGCCTTTCAATAAACTCCAATTATTGCATATTAAGGGAAGATGTGTCTAGTTACTTTTATTGTCAAATATCGACGACAAAATTAAAAAAAAAAAACAAGTCATCAATCAGTCTGTTTAAAGTAACAAAGTTGAGCTACTTAAAAAGTAGGCAATAGCGCTTAAACTTTGGTTATGGTAACGCAAACATGAACGGCATATTATTTATATTTGAACATATACGAATTCATCAGAAAATCAATTTTCAACAAAAATATTGGGAGAAATGGGTTTAGTTTTACTCGGTAATGTGAAATACACATAAGTAAAATCAAGATTCACTTGCACTAAAGGGCAAGAATCAGGCAAAGACAATAAAATCCCTTAAACTCTCGAAAAATATTCATGAGAAAGATCTGCGAAGTCTGGTGAATTATCCATGCTTTAGCTTTGAGTTGAACAGATCGGATTAGGGAGCAAGCCTTTGAGGGTCACGAGGGAAGAGCGATGTTTTGCGGATGTTATTGAGGGCACAAAAGAGCATTACCACTCGCTCCAGCCCCGCTCCGAATCCACCGTGAGGAGGTGAACCGTACCTGTAAACGTTTATCATATGTCAACTCTGATGACCAATCGTAGGTACCAAAAACTGGTTCAGTTTGTGTTTTACTTGAATTGATCGATGTATTATTTTAAGGTCTTCACATCAATGCCACATTCTCCTGCTCGTTCCTCCAAGAATTCTGGGATATGAACACGTTGGGCTCCTGATATGATCTCCTCACCTAGGACAAAAGAGCAAATTTAGTATTAAAATGAGTGGCAACACTGAGAAACTGATAGTCAAAAAACCAAAAACTCAGAGATGCACCTCTTATGAAGGCATCAAATGAGTTGCTGTAGCGAGAATCGTCTCCAGATGGCATAGTGTAGAATGGCCTAACTGCAGTAGGGTAGCGATGCAGCATGTAGAACTCTGTGTTGTACTTTTCCAAAACGAGCTGGCCAAGCTTTCTCTCGGATTCTGTATTTAGATCTCCAAGAGGATTAATCTCCACGCCAGCATCCTGTCAACACATACAAGATATAACAAATATTATTGATAGTAAATAAGTCATCAAGTCAAATGCAACAGGACCAGTCATACCTTAAGCATTTGAATCCCTTCTGCAAAAGTTAGCCTCAATGTTTTTGGAAGAAACTGCAAGTAAGTTTAATTAGTGCTAATCATCAGAATCCAATAAGATTAACAAAAAAAAAAAAAATCATCAGAATCCAATAAGATACAAAAATCATATTGCATTGTTACCTTCAAAGGTACAAATGGGTATTGCTTTCTGACAGCTTCTAGTTCCTTATTGCACCTCTCGTTCAATTTAGTGAATATGAAGACAAACAGCTCATCAACAAGATCCATAATCTGCAAAAAAGCAAAAAATATATTAGCTGGCAGCAGAATAGACATACTTGAGATGAAATATATATAATTAACATCACAATCTTACCTCAGAATAGTGCGTTTGAATCTCCATCTCCACATCAAGACCAACGAATTCACACAGGTGTCTATGAGTGAAGGAGTCTTCTGCTCTGTAAACATGATAATCTCGAAGACGCGTCGAAAGTCACCCAATATTGCCATCTGCTTATGAAGCTGGGGAGATTGAGCCAGACAAGCAGGCTGTCCTTTGTAGTCCAACCTAAATACCGCAGAACCACCTTCGCTACTACCAGCGATCAATTTCGGTGTGTCGATTTCAATAAACCCCTTGGATTCTAAAAATTCTCTGAACGCCTACACAATTGTTAGCTACGTTCAGCAAAAGTAACATATATAGAAGAAAGCAGTTTTGCATATAGATGCTGTTCGTTTTTTATCTAGATGCTGCATCTAGATTTTGTATATAGATCAGCATCTAGATACAATATCTAAATATTGTTTGTTTTGGAAACTAGGTTTTGCATCAAGATGCTACGTCTAGATATTAAATTGTTTGTTTGTGAAAGATATTAAATTGTTCGTTTGTGAATTTAGAAAAATAGTTAGATGCAAAATATATCAAATGAATAAAAAGAACATATTTTTGAATTTAAATTAAGTTTTAAAAATATATGAAATTTTTCTTTTTTTGCATTTTTTTGGGAAATCATGGTTTTATATATTTGACAGAAAATTTTTTACTGGAATTTTGAGTTTTTGATGAAAAATCTAGATATCGTGTTTTTTGCAGGAAATCGAGATTTTGTATTTTTCGGCGAAAAACCAAGAGTTTTCGTTTTTTTGGTGAAAAATCAAGATTTTGCGTTTTTTGCGAGAAATCGAGAATTTGCGTTTTCAGCGAAAAACCGAGATTTTTCTTTTTTTTGGCGAGAAATCGAGATTTTGCGTTTTTTGCGAGAAACAGAGATTTTTTTCGTTTATGGCAGGAAATCGAGATGTTTTGTTTTTGGCGAGAAATCAAAATTTTGCGTTTTTGACGAGAAACCGAGAGTTTTCGTTTTTGGTGGGAAATCGAGATTTTGCGTTTTTGGCGAAAAACCGATATTTTTCCTTTTTGGCGAGAAATCGAGATTCTGCGTTTTTGGCGGAAAATTGAGATTTTGCGTTTTCGGCTGGAAACCGAGAGTTTCGTTTTTGACGGAAAATTGAGATTTTGTGTTTTTGGAGAGAAACCGAGAGTTTTCATTTTTGGCGGGAAATCGAGATTCTGCTTTTTTGGCGGGAAATCGAGATTTTGCGTTTTTGGCGAGAAACCTAGATTTTTTGGTTTCGGCGGGAAATCGGGGTTTCGTGTTTTTACGGGAAATCGAGATTTTGCGTTTTCGGTGGGAAACTGAGAGTTTTCGTTTTTGGCGGAAAATCAAGATTTTGCATTTTTGGAAAAAACTAGATGCAAACGCTGCATCTGAACTCTCTATTTCTCAGCATCTAGAATATCCAGATATTTGAGATGCTAATCAATTTGCATCCAGATGCTGCATCTGAACACAAATTTTTTTATGAAAAACGAACAACATTTGGACATTTGCAGCTAGATGCAACATCCAGATACAAAAACGAACAGGACTAAATCATGGGAGGAAAGATCATACTTACTATGGGGACAGTTTTAATGACACAAGTAAAATGACAAATCCTATCCTTCGCATATCAAAATCATTTAAAAGAGGGCTTACTTTTTTGACTTGCATCTCAATGCGGAAGATGGCTTGATTAGCCGGTGTTCTGAGGTCGATCACCCTATAATTCAAATGTGTATCCCGATCGGCACCAGCTTTCCCAGCCTGCAACAATTTTGGACACAAGAGCTCTTATGAACAGATAAACCACCAACTATCGAAAAATTCACAACACAGTTGTACCAGTTCCGACTAATCTCCAAGTTGTAAAACAGTATACAAAGTACCTTAACATCAGCTTCACTTCGGGCAGCATTCTCCACGATAAGTGGTAACTGTGGCAAGGCATTGTTGACGCAGTAGGCTTTTCTCACTTGAATTTCGACCTGCAATGAAAAACACGAGTTAATACCAGTTAAAAAATCAAACGAATTGGGAGAAGAAGGAATCAAACCTGCTGCGTGGATGCTGTCACAGGGTCCTTGGGGAGAAGGACGACACCGATGACATTGACAAAGGACTCGCTACTAAGCTGCTTGAGGAATTTAATCATGTTGACGCTCACTTTGGTCTCCTCCGATTGTGTAGCCACGCATTGGACCTTGAATCCACTTTGCCTCAACATCAGAAATCCCAGTTTGCTAGATTTATGGCGATACGTTTCCAATCGGCCTCTGATCAGAACCTCTAATCCAACCATCTCTTCCACCAAATCCCCCACATCGGTCCACTTCTTTCCCTCAGTAGCCTCTCTCCATTTATGATCCGCCGGCGAATTCAACTCGGTAAGAGTCACGTCGCCGCCATAGTTCTCGTTCTCGGAAAACGATTCATCGTCCAGGGATAGAAGAGAAGCAATCTTACGGGCGGATTCTTCTTCTTTTTCCTGTTTTCGGTGCAACTTCTCCAATTTCGCGGCTTCCTTCTTTGCCGCTTCCTTGCTGATCTTCTCCTCCGGCGCGTTGGTGGTTGACGACATATTTTCCCGCTCCAACGACATTAAGGCAGTTTTAAACGCCCTTTTTGATAGAGCCAGACGTTCCCGCTAACAAGAGAATAAGAGAGAGCAATAAGCTTTTTTGATAATAATTCAAATAAGTCGTGTGCTCACAAGTTGAGACATCGACAATCTTTATACTAAATGCTTCTAAGAGTGTCAACATAGAATTTAAGAAATCAATTTAATTGGTCCACATCAACATTTAGAAATAAGAAAAAATTACAAATTGTAATATTATTGCTAAAAAAAGGAAATTAAGAATGTGTCACATAGGATTTAAAAAATTAATTTTATTGGTCAACATCAACATTCAAAATTAAGGAAAATTTACAAATTGTAATATTATTGCTGAAAAAGGAAATTAAGAAATTTTGTTGGTCTTATAAAAAATTTATTGGTCCACCTTAACATTGAAAATTGAAAAATTTCCAAATTCTATTATTGTTTTTAAAATTATTAAAAGTAAAAAAAATATATATAAAATTGATATTAATAATAAAAAAGCTAAAATAAAAATATTAAAATAGGAAATTTTAAATTTAAATTGATATATACACACATATATTTAGAGACTCTTATATGAACATCCAATTTTTTTGGGGAAAAATGCCATAAAAACCCTGAAGTTACCGATTTCAGCCAAAATAATCCCGAACTACAAGTTAGACCAAATAATACCCAAACTTTTATTGACTTGTCATTTAAATCTTAAATTTTAGTTGACCAATCCAATTTAAACCTCGTTAACGAGCTAAACGGAGCAATTAAACAGGGTTAAATCCCAATTAAAACCGTCGTTTATCAAAACGACTTCGTCTTGTTGAAAACGAAAATCCCCAAATTAAAAACCCTAAATCGACTTCTTCTTCCCCAAATCAAAATCGATTTTACCCTTTCTTTCCCAATCTCTCTCTCTCTCTCTCTCTCTCCCTAAATTCCGAAATTCTATCTCAATTCCATCTCTTACATCGATTTCTCTATCGATTTGGCACACACGTTTGACTGATGATGGGAAAACGGAAGAAGCTTCCAACTCGTTGGAGTAGAAGAACGAAGAGTGGAAGTAGTCAGGTTCATTCGACTGATGATTACGATCCGAATGAGTGTGAGGATGTTACTGGGGCACTAGTTCTTCGTGATGATCTGAATGAGTGTGAGGATGTTACTGGGGCACTAGTTCTTCGCGATGATGATGGAGATGGAGATGACCATAATGCAGTAAGTGAGGATGACTGTGCTGTTCATGGTGATGAAGATGTTGATGAGATTCGTGATGATGCTGACGAGGGTGGTTATGAGGCCGGTAATGAAGCTGCTGATGAAGGTGGTTATGATAAAGATGATGAACCTGAAGATAACGACGGTTTAGGTGTGCAAGAAGAAGTTTGCCAGGATTTAGCACTGCACTTTGGAGAGGCTGCAAGAGAGGAGGACATTCAGACTGATGGAGAGAGCGGGGATGATATCTGGAACGATGACACGATTCCAGATCCTCTGTCAACGGATGATGAAGAAAAAGCAGAGAATGAAGACGAGGATGAAGTGCCAGATGATCAAGAGAGGATAGATCCAGAAGAGCTGCTAGTGCTGGGTAAAACCTTTGGTTGTGCAGAAGAATTCAAGCTTGCAGTGCTTCAATATTCTCTGAAGACGAGATACGACGTGAAGCTATACAAGTCATCAGCTTTGAAGATCGGTGCCAAATGTTCTGACATTGAGTATGATTGCCAGTGGAGAGTCTACTGCTCATTTGAAAAGAGGAAACAAAAGATGCAGATAAAGGTATTTGTTAATAAACATGTCTGCGTTAGATCAGGTTACTCTAAAATGCTAAAGAGATCAACAATAGCTTGGTTGTTTGCGGAGAGACTGAGAGTGAATCCAAAAATCACAAAAAAAGAAATGGCTGCTGAAATTAAGAGAGAGTATAAGTTGATTGTCAAAGAGGAACAATGTGGGAAGGCGAAGACAAAGTTGTTAAAGGAAAGAAAAGCAAGCCATGAAGCTCACTTTGCACAAATCTAAATTGGGAAAAATGCCATAAAAACCCTAAAGTTACCGATTTCAGCCAAAATAATCCCGAACTACAAGTTAGACCAAATAATACCCAAATTTTTATTGACTTGTCATTTAAATCTTAAATTTTAGTTGACCAATCCAATTTAAGATCCTCGTTAACGAGCTAAAAGGAGCAGTTAAACAGGGTTAAATCCCAATTAAAACCGTCGTTTATCAAAACGACGTCGTCTTGTTGAAAACGAAAATCCCCAAATTAAAAACCCTAAATCGACTTCTTCTTCTCCAAATCCACATTTCCTTCAAATTTCTCTCATTCTTATCTCTGATTCTATACGAAAGGCAGGCTTAGTTTTGATTCTCTGTGACACTCAATTCGATATTCTTTCACTTTTATATCGGATTCTAATTTGTTCATCTTCACCTCTTTTCAGATGAGTTCTAATTACGAATCTGGAATCCGTGGGTTTCCATTGAAGTGTGAGTGTGGGCGTGCCGTGAAGATATATACATCTAAGACACAAGAAAACCCTGGACGACCTTTCTTCCGATGTCCAACCCAAAAAGATGTAAGTATAGTGATTTTTAAATGGCAAAAATTTCAGTGGTTGGAAATGTTTCAAAAATTCCTTTGTTCCTCTCTCACGTTCTGATTTTGTAAGTGTCAAAATTTCTATTGTTCATATATTAGGACCATTTGTTTAAGTGGGTAGAAGATGCTGTATTTGAGGAAGTTGAGGACGCGCTAGCAAAAGTTGGCACCATTGAGAGTGAAATTCGCAATTTGAAGACTGAAGTTGGTGATTTGAAAGCTGTGATTGAAGAATTGAAGGAGGAGATTGTAAGGAGCAAGACCGATATTCAGAAGTGCAGAATGATGAGCAACATATGTATATTTATGGTGTGTCTTTGCTTTCTTACCATTGCAATTGTTTACGTAATGGTTGGTAAACCAAAGACAACAAAATTTATTCTTGGTTATTAGTGTAAGAAAAGCTGCTGTTATGGTGTTGTTGTCTTAATCTTTTGAAACTATGTTGGTACTTGAATTAATTGTTGTTGTTGTTTATGAAATCAATTGTTGTTGTTTATGAAACTTGAATTGCTGTTCTTGTAGAAACATTACCTGAATTTTGGGAATAGAATTACATAGTTTGATTAAAACACTATGAAAAGAACACATATTTTCAAACAATAACCTGAAATGCATAGTTTCATTTGTCTTAAAACGTGATCCCATTACAACGGCCACATAAACCATAACAGCAACATAGTTTCTTAAAACAAAAGTTTAAAACACAATCCAAAATGAACTAACATAGTTTCTTAAAACAAGAGTCTTAAAACATAATCCAAAATGAACCAACATAGTCTCTTAAAACAAAATAGCCTTCTCCATCTCTCATCAGAAAAACCAGCGTCGCCAACCTGAACCTTGTGAACCTTGCTCTTCCACTTGTGATCCTTGCCACTGTCCTTGAGAACCTTGCCACTGCCTTTGCTCTTGTGCACCTTGCTCATGTGAACTTTGTCCTTGCCATTGTCCTTGCCACTGCCCTTGTGAACCTTGCCCTTGCCACTGTCCTTGCCACTGTCCTTGTGAACCTTGCCCTTGCTCTTGTGAATCTAGCCCTTGCCCTTGTGATGCTCCTTCCTATAAAGTAGTAAATTATCAAAGCACATTCCTAAACCAAAGCACACAAATTGCAATTATCAAAGCACACGAATTGAAGAAAAAATAAGTAACAAATACCTGATTCAATCTTGGATGACCTCTTGGTCTTTTTGGTTGACTCTCCACTCTCGGATTTGAACAAGAGACCTTATTGTGGCCTTCTTCATTGCAGTTAGAACACATTATGATTCTCTTCATACGTGATAACTTCGTCTTATTGGAGGAAGAGGAGGCGGTTTCATTCACTCCCTTACGCCTTGCATAATTAGGAGGTCTACCACGAGGACGATTTCTCCATGGTGGTGGCAAAACAGGAAGTCTACCAGTCCTAGGCCACAACTTCATTCCTTGTACAGACTCAAGACCAGTCTGATATGTTTCTATCCACATTTTTGTTGTGTAAAACTTAGACACATAATCATCAACCTTTTGTTTTTTTGCTGTGATAACACAAGCCGCATGAATACATGGTATTCCAGTCATCTGCCATTTCCTACAGCCACATGTATGATCACTAAAATCTACACGATAACTAACATTATCATGTGATACCTCATGTAGTGTATCTGTCGACATATATCTGATGCAGTCCATGCCTCCCTTTGACATTTTTTCTATCTCCTCATGAGCTTTAGGTGTGAATCTGGTCTTTGCTCTATTGGTAATAATCTTCCTCTTCGCATTTCTCACCATACACTGTCTCCTAATATCTTCTAACAGGTCCAGTAGTGGTTTTTTCCTTGCAAGACAAATTGTTCTGTTGAAAGACTCACTAAGATTGTTCAGGTTATCGTTACAACACGATCCAACCCTAAAAAAAGCTCTGGACCAGCCTGGAGGATTAGTCTTCTGCAGAGAGACCCATGCACCTGGACTGTATCTATTCAGTGCTTGCGTGTTTTCTTCATAGTCTCCCATTGTGTAACTACGTGCTATCTTCCAAAATAGCCGCTTCAGCTCTAGATCATTGCCATCCTTCTTCCAATTATCTATAACATGTCGAGCACACATACGGTGTTTGGCTTGTTGAAGGACGATCTTAACAGCTTTCACTAAACCCTGAACAGAAACAACACCATAGATAAGTTTCACAACAATCATAATCATCAAAACTTTTAAAACAAGAAACTACAACCTTTTGTTTGTCTGAAAGGATTGTAACTTTGCCACCATCACCAAGATCCAATGATGCACTTAGGTGACTAACAAACCAGTCCCAATTGGTATCGTTCTCTATCTCAACAACCGCCCATGCTATTGGAACTATTCGATTATCAGCATCCCGACAAACTGCAGCAAAAAGGTGGCCCTTAATATCCCACTTAAGAAAAGCACCATCTAATCCTATAATCGGTCTACAACTATTTTTCCAAGCATCTCGTTGAGCTTTAAAGCAGATATAGAGACGATAAAACCGTTGTTTGCTTCCAATAGTAGGCCCTGGTGTAGTCTCTATTTCCATTACAGATACCTTATTGGACTGCAGAATCTCAGCCTGATAGTCCCAGATTCGTGCAAAGTGAGCTTCATGGCTTGCTTTTCTTTCCTTTAACAACTTTGTCTTTGCCTTCCCACATTGTTCCTCTGTGACAATCAACTTATACTCTCTCTTAATTTCAGCAGCCATTTCTTTTTTTGTGATTTTTGGATTCACTCTCAGTCTCTCCACAAACAACCAAGCTATTGTTGATCTCTTTAGCATTTTAGAGTAACCTGATCTAACGCAGACATGTTTATTAACAAATACCTTTATCTGCATCTTTCGTTTCCTCTTTTCAAATGAGCAGTAGACTCTCTACTGGCAATCATACTCAGTGTCAGAACATTTGGCACCGATCTTCAAAGCTGATGACTTGTATAGCTTCACGTCGTATCTCGTCTTCAGAGAATATTGAAGCACTGCAAGCTTGAATTCTTCTGCACAACCAAAGGTTTTACCCAGCACTAGCAGCTCTTCTGGATCTATCCTCTCTTGATCATCTGGCACTTCATCCTCGTCTTCATTCTCTGCTTTTTCTTCATCATCCGTTGACAGAGGATCTGGAATCGTGTCATCGTTCCAGATATCATCCCCGCTCTCTCCATCAGTCTGAATGTCCTCCTCTCTTGCAGCCTCTCCAAAGTGCAGTGCTAAATCCTGGCAAACTTCTTCTTGCACACCTAAACCGTCGTTATCTTCAGGTTCATCATCTTTATCATAACCACCTTCATCAGCAGATTCATTACTGGCCTCATAACCACCCTCGTCAGCATCATCACGAATCTCATCAACATCTTCATCACCATGAACAGCGCAGTCATCCTCACTTACTGCATTATGGTCATCTCCATCTCCATCATCATCGCGAAGAACTAGTGCCCCAGTAACATCCTCACACTCATTCAGATCATCACGAAGAACTAGTGCCCCAGTAACTTACAAGTGTTTGACTAATAATATATTTTTGAAATATGATATACTGTATATAGATTCAAAACAAAACCGTTAAAATATCACAATGTACAAAAAATTATTAGATCAACACTATAATATTTTAATATATTATTAAAACACTAATATATAAAATTTGTATCTTAATAAATATAACTAATTGCATATAATTTTATCAATAAAATACCTACGCGTAGCGTGGATGCAAAATCTAGTCTTATACTAAGAAAAGTTGAAGCTAAATGCCTCTAAAGGTGTCCACATAGGATTTAAAAATAAGGAAAATTTACAAAATTTTAATATTATTGCTGAATAAAGAAATTAAGAAAGTGTATAAATTCTAATATTATTGCTGAGTAAAAAAATTATGTATAAATTTTTTATTGGTCCACCTCGACATTGAAAATTAAAAAGTTTTCAAATTCTATTATTGTTTTTAAATTATTAAAGATATAGAAATTATACATAATTTTTTTATTAATAATAAAAAACTAAAATAAATAATAATAAATAGGAGACCATAAAATCTCCAAAGCTTGACCACCAAATTTGAGAAAAATGATAAATTCTAAACAATCCGAAAAACATGTCAAGTGATTGATACTCGACACTTTTGAAAACGAAGCACTGAAAATAGAGAAAAAGGTTATGTCATTAAGACGAATAAGACTCAGGTATCCAAAGAAGATATTTGAAATAACATGACATTTGATGGGATTTTAACAACATAACTTTAACCACAAAAGTAACAATTAGCTGACCAAACATCATCTAAATACATTCGGTAGGCCTCAAAACAAGGAGGAGAGACTAATATCATGATACATTTGAAAAACAAAGCACTCAAAATAGAGAAAGAGATTCTTTAGATGGTGTCCACATAGAATTTTAAAAGGTAATTTTATTGGTCCAGATCAATATTCAAAATCAGGAAACTTTACAAATTCTAATATTATTGTTCAATAAGGAAATTAAGAAAGTTTACAAATTCTAATTATTGCTGAATAAAAATATTCTATATAAATTTTTTATTGGTCCACCTCAACATTGAAAATTTAATTTTTCTTTCAAATTCCATTATTATTTTTAAAAATTATTAAAGATAAAAAAGTTATATAAATTTTTTTTGTTAATAATAAAAACTAAAATAAATAATATTAAAATAGAAAATTTTAAATTTAAATTAGATGTATACACACATATTTAGAGACTCTTACATTAGTATCCAAATTTTTGTCACATAACTATAATAATTTTTAAGTTTTTTTTCTGTGTGTGCAACCATTTCAAAAAAAAAAAAAATAGAGTTAGGTTTCACAAAAAATGAGTCATTACAATGTAAAAGAACCAACTTGGCTAAACTATAAATTTAACTATTAGCTAAAATTACAAAGAATATAATGAAACAAGATATAAACCAAGCCATTACAAGCCGTTTTAATATCGAAAAAGAGACCGAAAAATCTCCAAAGCTTGACCACCGAATTTGAGAAGAATGATAAATTTCAAGCAATCCGAGAAACATGTCAAGTGATTGATACTCGACACTTTTAAAAAACAAAGCACTGAAAATAGAGAAAGAGGTTTCATCATTAAGACGAAGGAGATTGAGGTATTTGAGGAATATTTTTGAAATAACATGGCATATGTTACAGTTTTAACAACCTAATATTAACCACAAAGGTAACAATTAGCTGATCAAGCAGCATCCAAATACATTCGGTAAGCCTCAAAACAAAGAGGCGATACCAAAATCATGACACTTTTGAAAAATGAAGCACTGAAAATAGAGAAAGAAGTTCTGTCATTAAGCCAAAGATTGAAATATCCGAGAAAGATTTTTGAAATAACATGGCATCTGATGGGGTTTTAACAACCTAACATTAACCAAAAAAGTAACAATTAGCTGACCAAGCAGCATGCAAATACATTCGGTAAGTCTCAAAACAAGGAGATACCATAATCAATTGCCTCGTGTGGGATATTCCAGCTTTGATATCTAAATCTATTATTAAAAAAAAAAGCTATATGCCTCTAAGAATATCCACATATGATATAAAATTTCAATTTTATTGGTCCATATTAATATTTAAAACTAGAAAAAATTCAAAATTTAAAAATTATATGGTTAACAAAAAATATATTTATAAAAAAAAATAAAAATTGAAGCTATATGCCTCTAAAGACATCCACATAAGATTTAAAAGATCAAATTTATTAGTGTACATCAATAACTAAAATTAAAAGAAAAATCTAAATTATAAAATTACATTGTCAATACAAAACAATATAGAAAAAATTGTTGATTAAAACTATTCTATTATGAATAACAGTTAAAACTATATTACTTTCAATGCATCCACATCAGCATTTAAAAATTAAATATTATTCATATATATCAAAATTGTAAATTTAAATAAATTTCTTAATTCTATTAAGAAAATAAATTAAAAAATAAAAAATCTCTAATAACAAAAAAATGATATTAAAATCTTCATTATTACTGTTTAAATTATAAATTTAATTTATTATCTATAAAACTATATGCTACTTATACAAGTTTATGTTACTTGATTTTAATGCTTTTTATGTAGAATTTTAAACAACTAATACTTATAATTTATATTAATTTTTTTACATATGCAAAACATATTTCTACATAATCTCATGTAATATATTATGCAAAAATAATCGAAAAAATTTATATTTTGTATATTCAACATGGAATTGCAATAGATTAATGTAGAAGTTTTTAGTTTTGAGTTGTTCAATTTGTTATTCCATTTTTCTAAATTTATATGTATTAAATTGTACCGACTACCTACTTAATTATAATTAAAAGAAGTAAAAATGAATATGATGAAACTGAATATAATTATACAAAAATCATTAAAATAAATAAATATGATATATTAGTTGAAAAAAACAGATATAATAAGAATAAAAATGAACATGATGAAAAAAACTATTATTATTAGAATTGATGACGTATAATCATTGAAAAATTATTTAAGTGTTTACACACCAATTGACAAAAAATATTAATGCAAAAATTTTGTGTGATTTTCTTTATTTTATATTCAACTATTATTTTGGTTTCAAATTTAAAGTTGTTATTAATCTCAAAGCAAATATTTTATTTCTTAGTTTGTTTTTAAAATTAATATAACAAAATAAAAATTTGTATCGGTTAAACAAGAGAAAAAAAGATTAAATTTTTAAATTTTATTATTGTTTTTAAAAAATACATATATAATTGGAAGAAAAGTGAAAATGATGAAAAAATTAGTTTCATGATTTAAAGAAATAAATGTATAATATTTTATCATCATGTCAATATTATGTTTAATAAGTACCATTTGATTAATTTATAAAAAATTTAGTATTTGGGTATATTAACTTATAAGTGTTTGACCAAATAATACGTTTTTGAAATATAACATATTGTATATAAATTTAAAACAAAACCGTTAAAACCTCAAAATTTACATAAAAATTATTATATTAACATCATAATATTTTTAATATAATATTAAATCACTAATATATAAAATTTATATCTTAATAAATATAATTGATTGTATATAATTTTTATTAACAAAATACCCACACGTAGCATGGACGCAAAATCTAGTATATTATATAAAGACTCAAAAACAAGGAGGAGAGACTAATATCATGATACATTTGAAAAACAAAGCACTCAAAATAGAGAAAGAGATTCTTTAGATGGTGTCCACATAGGATTTTAAAAGGTAATTTTATTGGTCCAGATCAATATTCAAAATCAGGAAACTTTACAAATTCTAATATTATTGTTCAATAAGGAAATTAAGAAAGTTTACAAATTCTAATTATTGCTGAATAAAAATATTCTATATAAATTTTTTATTGGTCCACCTCAACATTGAAAATTTAATTTTTCTTTCAAATTCCATTATTATTTTTAAAAATTATTAAAGATAAAAAAGTTATATAAATTTTTTTTGTTAATAATAAAAACTAAAATAAATAATATTAAAATAGAAAATTTTAAATTTAAATTAGATGTATACACACATATTTAGAGACTCTTACATTAGTATCCAAATTTTTGTCACATAACTATAATAATTTTTAAGTTTTTTTTTCTGTGTGTGCAACCATTTCAAAAAAAAAAAAAAATAGAGTTAGGTTTCACAAAAAATGAGTCATTA